TTTATCTTGACAAAAGAGATCATTTCTACAATAAATTATTAATATTTTTTTTGTAAAAAAGAGAGAATTTTTTTAATTGTTACATTTTTTTTTAAGAGAATTTTTTCAACATAAATTATATTTTTTTGGTTTTGTAAGAGATCTAAAATATTAAAGATTAGAGGAAGGAGAGAAAATTTGAAAAGAGAGTTGTGTGTCATTTAAAAAGTAATAATCATTTATTTGTAAGGTTAATAATATAGTTATCATTTCCTATAAGATTGTAATGCATACATAAAAATGTGGAATGCAAACAGCGTCTCCCATATACATATACATATACATATACATACATATATATATATATATATTTTTATACATATTTAAAACTAATCAATTCTATGTTAAATTATATTTGGAAACTTTAAACTTACCATATATATTAGTATATTTTAAATTAATTAATATTTATCTTTATCTCTTCCTCAAGGTGTGTTCTATATTTGCCACCACCTTGCCACCTCCCTTCCTCTCCCTCCCTTCCCAAACCCTAAAGTCTAGGATCCAAAATCTCCTTGGCCCATTTTTACCTCTAAAATCCTTCAATTTCTCTTTAAACCGATAAAGCACCACTTGGTATGAAATATTTTTAGCCTTTACATCTTCATCATCTAAATTACTAAACAAATAGCATAACAATAAATACTTACACAAAGATAACTCCTAATAGATCATAATAGCAAACAACAAGATGTGACTCACCCAAAAAAAAAAAAAAGACATCTGAGATCTGATTTCGCAATAAAATAAATAAATAAATAAAAACACCCAAATCCACTTCTTAGTCAGATCCACCTAAATCCACCACTACAAATCCAATACTTGATCAGATCTTCTAAATATAAGATTCGAAATGTTACGGGTCTAGGTTTGTCTCGTCCTATTAGAGTACACCATTAAAGAGATGGGAGAAGAGAAAGTTGGGGTAGTCACGGTGAGAACGGAGATGATGGTGCCGACGGTTGGAGAGAGAGACGGTATGATCCGACGCCGTTGGACATGGTGGTGGTAAGAGGTGATGGAGAGATGGGGTGAGGAGGCAGGGGCGGTGGAGAGGAGAGTATAAGAGAGAGGAGGAGGAGGAGGAGGAGAGATGGTGTTTTACACAAGTTATAATAAGGGTCTCCATATATGACTTCTCACTTAAAGAGATATTTGCATATTCGATATTATTATAATATAAAAGGCATAATTGACTCTTCACATTAAAAGTCATTTTCTTACCCACATTGGACAGAAATGAGCATATATTATTGCCATTTTAAATTTCAAGGGCTATTTGTACCAAATTAATAGTATAGGGATATTTTACATTACACATGAATTATTTCGTACTATATCGATAATAAATGAGGGTTTTTTTGCACTTAACCCAAGATTAAATTTATAACAATGTTTTGGTTTGGTGAATATATTTATCAGGCTCTTTAACAAAGGAAGCAAAAGTAAAATATTGAATAGAATAGTTCTAAGAATTTAATTGTAATCTAGTAGCTTAGATTCAGGGAGTGATTTATTTCATTTTAGGACTCTTTAATTTGCTATAAATAATTGTAGAAACATCGTTGCAAAGGGCCGAGCACCTCACAATCAATCATATCAATACAATTTTCCTTTTCAATCACGCTTTCCTAATTAAACTTGATTTCCTTAATGTATCCATTATAAATTTCCTAGTTTAATTCACCAGTTGTTAGTTACTTCTTCTAGTAAATTTCTGTTTCTTTAGTTAATTAAATTTGGAAAAATTAGATGTTAGTGATCAAACGTAGACAAAATTATTAAAAAGTGACCTTAAAGTTAAAAAAGGATGGATAGTGACCGATTTTAAAACTTAATTGCTAATAAGTAACCATTTAAGGACAATTAGGTCAAAAAAATACTTACTTGTTTATAAAATATTCTAAAAATAAGTTTTAAATGACAAAATTGTTTATTAATTCTCCTCTCTTTTCTTGTTCTATTTTTTCCTTTTTAGTTTGCAACTTACCAGTTAAAAAATTAGAATTTCTTTAATAACCTTATATCTTAAATTTAAAATTTCTTTATTAATCTTATCTTCTTTATTTTTACAGCTCTCCACCGTGATCGAAAAACATGCTAAGCACAAAATTAAGAATATTATATCCATAGTTATAATTTATATGGATTTACATACTTTCAAATTTGATCGTGTGTGTGTGTCTATATATATATATATATATATCTTGTTTACAAAATAAAAGATTAAAAGCCACGACACCATTAAAATATGCTTCCATTCCCTTCTCTCTTCGTCTTCATCTTATCCCATTAAAGTTTTTCCATTCCTTTTGCAATTTCGTTTCCATCAAGATTCAATTCTGTTGTTTCATATACTTTCAATAGTATTAATTTCTTCTTTAATCGTCGCACACGCAATTTCTTTTCAATATTAATTTTATTTTATTGTAATTCGTTCCCATTTAAAGTCCTAAGGTAATTAAACTCATTAAAGAAAGTTCAATATTCTCTCTTTCTACAATAGCTTGGTTAATTATTTTCCAAAAGAGACTCGTTTGATCAAGATCTCTAACTTGAACCAGCCAATTGGTTCTGGCATGCCTACATCAGCCAATTTCTTAATTGACAGACTTTGCCGATTTAAGGGGTCAACAAAAAGTATCCCCAGCTTCTTTGGTACAGATTGAACTATGATCTTGCAATTGTAGCTAAGGTTCATGTGAAGAATGTTGTAGAATATTTTACCTATTGAGTTTAATATTATGTTAAGTATATAATATTATTTGAAAGTAGTGCTTAGATTAATCTTGCTATATTTTATTAAATTATATTGTTACATATGTGAGTTCAATATTATTTCTATAAGTGCTTATTTTTTTTTGAGATTACAATTTTGAGTTATGTTGTTAAATTACTTTGTGTATATTTTAATTCACTTTTACAATATAGTTTATTTGATGTGTATTATTGTCTAAGATATGTATAACAGCAAATGATTAATGAACTAAATAAGAAAAAGCTTTCCGATAATTTTAAGGAGTTTAATGAAAAATATTATGGATACACTAAGCTAGTATACCGAGAGACGAGTTAAATCAAGCTAGTTTGCTATAAAATCCAATTTAGCTAAAAGCTAAAACGTTACTAAGGTGCAAACTAATAATGATTGCTAAGGTGCACAGAACCTAAGAGGCATATAAAAATCTGTTAACTAGTTCTAGTTCTCAACTTGGTAAGAAAAACAAGAGGGTGATGAGTATCCATATGAGCTAAAAATCATTTTAGCTATACATCATATATGCTCCTATAGGGAAAAGAATAGTACTTAAAGTGAAGTTTTGGGAGAATATTCTTCAAAACAAATTCATCTACTACTAAATTAAACAACTTAGAAAAGTATGTACTAAAACTAAGAGCTACTAGAAAGGATAGCTGAATAAACTTAACTTCAAGCTAGTGTTAATAGCTGAGAAGTGCGTGTTCACAATAAGCTAGTAGTGATTGATGAGAAGAGTGTGGTTAGTATAAGTTAGTAGTGATAGCTGAAAAATGTGTATGCACTATAAGGTGATTGTATCCAAAGCTAAAATAATAAGTGAATTATTTGCTTATATGATTGAGTTATGTGATGTGTGAGATATGGAAGGTTAGGACTTGGTAATTATCATGTGAAATAAATTAACATGAACCTAAATAAAAATTGAATCAAATCATAAATATAGTAAAAACAAATATTAATTTGAGTTTATTGTAATTAATATCTATAACATTAATTCATAGTAATATCGGTGACTTATTATAAGAACAAATTAGAGTGAGTAAAGTGAGTACATATATATTAGAGATTGTTATACATGCTTGTTAAGAAGAAAAGGTGAAAACTCACACAAAGCCCATCATTAATCAGTGGCTGAAGCAAAATATGGACCTATATCTATAGCTCTTATTAAAGTTCACTCTCATAATGATGCTTGTTGGGCCTGTCTGCTTGGGCTTTTATTTACTCTCACAAGGATATCAGTCGGGCCTATATGTTTGGGCTTGTTTGAGTCATGCTTGGATTAGCCGACTTTGGGCCACAATGTACAGTTTACCCCACACACACACACACATATATATAATTGATTACTTTTTACAGTGGCAAAATTAAATGGCAAGTTGTTCCTTGCCCAAATGCCATCAGCTGAATTGTACAAGTGTTAGAATATTATATATATATATATATATATTTCTTAATTGATGCTCACACACTACTTTTAAGTGATTGTTTACACTTAGGAGGAGTCGAGCCTTAGACCTGATACTTCATTAAGAATCAGGCTAAGTGATTTACTCACTTAAGCCAACCCTTTGAGATTCTTGGAATTATATTCACTTCAATTGCACTCATGTATCAATTCATTGAACCATGAATTATTGAATTGGTTCATTTGTCTCTCTCATTTGTCCATGTCAACAACATTGAAGTGGCTCCACATAAGTTGCCAATTTTGTGTGTCAACAAATCTATATTTCTTTGATTTTGGGGAACTAAAGAAAAGAAAAAGTACGCTAGAAAAACTTGTTTGCGCTGCATGTATGGTGCACCTTATTTACAAAACAAAGTGAATCCCACCACTGCTGTGAGTGACGTGCACCATAGACTCGGCTCAAATAAATTTTTGTTGGAGTATACTACTCTCTGTGCTGCTTCAAGCATTTGGAAGCTTCACTGTGTATCCAAGTTGTTAATATTGTCCGCAAGTATAATGCAATTATATGAACTTAAAAATTAACATTGAGACTTTCCACCAAAACATAGACCGGGACTAACATCATTCTAGCATGAATTGGATGATTTTGACGTGGTATTAATCCTTTGAATTTGAACCTTTCCCATAAGTGTTGGCTAAATAAAATATTATGAACCACAAATACAATAAAGGGATACTTTATTATAGTACAATAAAGTTTGGAGCACCAAAATCACTACCTTTAATTTATATTTCTTTTCCATCCGAATGAAAAAATTGTCGGAGCCAATTAGTGAATGAAACTTCACACCGAGGCAAGTTAGGTGGGAGATCGCGAACACTCGTCCCAGGAGTGTCTCCATTTTTTACTATAAAAACTGTTAGTATAAAAACTCGTCTCATACCCCAACTTAAATGCTTAGCAAAATGACAATGCCAAAACCATACACCTAGCAAAAATATCCAATATTTTAGTATTAGTATGCTTGAAAAATGTTGGGTAGTTGAACAAGTCCCATATCGGTTAAAAATTAGAAAATCTGGGACTTATATAGGGCAAGGGTCACTTCACCTAAAAGGTTAACCTTTGGGTTGGATACCCACAAGCCCAACAACCGGTATCAAAACTCCTTCCCAAATACGAGAGAGGAGTCACCGGTCTCGTTCAAGGGAGACCGGTGACGTTCTATCCACCTCATTTAAGGGAGGAATTGTTGGGTAGTTGAACGAGTCCCACATCGGTTAGAAAATAGGGCAAGGGTCACTCCACCTAATAGGTTAACCTTTTGGGTTGGATTCCGACAAACCCAACAAAAAATACATAAATACACAAAAAATAATGTGGCATACTTGGATTGCTGGCCACAAATCTGATGGTAAGCCATCCATTCTTAGGGACTGCAAATGTATTCACTTGAGGTGGATCAACCAAATTGTAGCTTTTTGGATCGATTTCTGGGTCGAAATCCCCGTATCCGGATCCGACCACGTAGAAGTCATGGGCATGAAAATGCATTGGGTGAGTTTCTGGGGCAGCCAACAAATTGGTCCCTTGGAATATTATCTCCACTGCTTCATTGTAATTCAAAACCTTCACCTTGGTCCCTTTCGTTGTTGCTGCAGCATAAACCAAAGAATCACTAACTTCTGTGAAGTCAAAAAATGAAGACGGCTTGTCTGGAAAATCTGTGGTATAAACCCCACTCATGTTCCTGTATAAAAAAATTTAACAAAACCACATTATTTTCTACAATATATAATTGAGATTTGCTAAGCTTTCTTATGCTTAAATTGAGTACCATATATTTATTCAGTCTTAAATTTAAATTACTAGTGTTACCACTATAACAAGAAAAGAAGAAAAAAAAAAAAATTTAAAATGGGAGAAATGCTGATTTAATAAATTTTGTAACATTCCATCAATCAGACATATTGTCACCACTTCTTGATCATGAGAAAGGATGGAAGAAGAAGAGAAACATACCAATAATAGGCCTCCAAAACGTCGGTGGTAGGGTTCACGAAACTGATATTGTTCATGCTTGTAGCGATCTTATAATATTCTAGTGAACCATTTAGGAAAAAGGCATTCTGAGAAAGTATAATGAGCATACTAGTAGTGATATTTTCCGGAACCTTAACCGGATATTGTGGACATGCCAAGCTCCTTAGTTGATCCAAGAAATTGTCTGCTGCAACAAAGTCATCACTTGAAGGAAGATATGATGGGAAGGAAGCGTAAACTGGAGGAGTATAGTTGCCTCTATACTCGAGAATCGCGGTAGCATTTGTTCTGTCAAAGCTGCTAGTATCTAGACTGTGATATTGTCTCGCGGCCATATAGTAGTGACCCGATGACTGGTTTGTTGTGAGTAAAACATCCATGGTTTGTCCGGGGGATATCACAATATATGGTGTTGCTACGGGTTTGAGGTAGTTTCCGTCCATTCCAACAACTGTGATGTTGTGCTGACCAATAGCAAAGAAGAGATTCGCGCCCATTGCTGCATTGACTATGCGAAGAAGATAGGTCTTGCCATAATCAATCACCCTGCGATATGTTGTTCCTGTAACACATGATCGAATTGCAATAATCAATTTAATTGTGAATAAAATTTCAGTATATATATATATAGACTTGCTTAAATATGTGAATATATATATAATTGTGTTATAGTCCAATACATATATAAATAGGTACACACTACACAGCTATGCATATATACCATTAGAGCATTCGCAAAAATCTCCTGGTTGGCCATTGATAACATAAGCATCTGAGTTTGGTATGTCCACACCAGTTTGGAGGTCCTCAAGAACAACTTTGCGGATATCTTCTTTATACCATGATCCTGCAATTAAATACATTTGGGGAGTGAAGTGAGGAAAAAAAGTGGTTAACACTAACGAGTAAATCAATAAAACTCAAAAACATGAATATGTACGTAATACATATATATATATACACACATATATGGTATATTGCACTAATTAACAAGTCCCTTCTTGTGATGGAAAACACTTGAATATTCATACCAAGTACAATAATTTCTTCGTCATCGGGCTTGGGAAAGGGGTAAGTAGTTCCAGTTGCAGGATAAATGACAATGGCACCATGGACACTGTTTCTTGTCCAGTCACTATGGGCATGCCACCAGAGGGTTCCTTCTTCAATGGAAAATGTGACCTCGTAGGTGAAGTTTGTTCCAGGTGCAATGGGACACTGTGTGATATACTCTGGTCCGTCTGACCATGGATTTCTTGGTTGCTTCATTCCATGCCTGTTAGTTACATCACACATTTTAGCTATAATTGATCAATAACTCTTCTAAATATTAGATAATTCCATGCATAAAGTAAGTGATGTGTTTAACGGTAAAGACAATTTAAAACTTTCTCCTCTTCCCTCCTCTCCTTCCGGACAAAGTAAATTATTTGTTTCTTTTTTTCCCTACCATTCAACCGAACAAAAAGGAAGAAAAACACAGTGAACATGAATCACGGGTCGGGGGTAACTATAAGGACGAAGGTATTTAAGTTCATTATAAAATGGTATACTGTGGAGAGAGAATAGAGATAATACCAGTGAACGGTGACACCATAATTTTCTTGATTGTGAACGTTAACAAATGTTGTGTCTCCTTTGTGAACACGAATCACAGGTCCCGGGTAACTACCATTCACTACTAACATACTCTTCGTGCTACATAATCTTGTAAAATTGACTTCTCTCAACTGCAATGAAATATGAAAAGAGAAAATAAAGAAAAGATTAGAATAAGCCCATGCTTAACCAATTTTCAACTCTCCAAGGGTTCAATTCTTGGTAGATGATCGATAAGGGATGTGAATGCAATCCCCGCAAGAGGAATATTCCATTTTGCACACCAAAATGGCACTGTTTTAATGCACCAAACAAACTAAACCGTTGCACAATTGATGTTAGTTGTATGCTTAAAATAAAGTCAATCTTACTATTTCTTTTTTATTTTTTTCAAAAATTCATAGTAATAAATGTTGCCTTGCATATAAGGTGTTCGAAAATGGTCTAAGTAGTTGAATAGGAGGATCACTCTGACTACAATTCTTGGTAATTATTTTTTTGATTTTTCAATTAAAAATGATGTGTGCATATGTGATTGGACCGAATGAGAAAGTAGCTACTCACCGATAAGCAGGTAAGCATTTTCTTTTTTATATGTAATGTTTGAGATCATGTGGATTGAGTCTGTTTTGGACAATTGAACTAAATGTTTTAGTTGATAAAGTTGTTAGATTAGATTGTTATCGAATCAAATTGATTATTTTTACATTCGGCTTGTTTAGTTGAAGGATTTTGGAATTAGAATAGGTGACGGATTATCAATCTATCTCCGAATTATATACTGAATAGAGATCCCATTCATTAACAGATCTTAATTGACAAATTAACCCGGGATATATAACAACATATACATTTATACATGTAAAGAAAACATGCAGAAATTCTGAAAATGTCAGTAGATCGATCAAGGATATATCACATAAATATAAATAAGCAAAATTATTTTTGCATTATACTTACAACAAAGTCATAGTAATGGAAGTGGCCCTGTACCATGCAAAGAAATGTGATTGCTCCCAAAAACACAAACCTAAGAACCTCGTAAGGACCCATCGTTTCACTCATAATTTGTTCCTTGGAATGAAATAAAATCTCAGAAAGAAATCCTTGGAATGAAGTGATATCGAAACAAACTTGTTCTTATTTGAATCCTACGTACCTCTATTTATCAATAAGGTTTCCCTACTTTCGAATGTCCTTGTCAAAAGTACAACATTATTTCAGTTTTTTTCTTTCACCATTATTATATTATGTTGATTTTTATTTATGTTAGTATAGATTGAACTGTGGACTCGCAATTGTAGTTAATGGTCTAATTAAAGCTCGTACATATATATTATATAGTACCAATTATTGGTCAATATATGCAGGTGTGGCTAATGAAGGTGACACGCACCATTCATAGACATTAATTTACAGGTGTAACATATAGTATTGGGTGGTGGCACGCTCACTTGTGAACCATTTTGGTCTTTAGGTGCACCAACTAATTAGGTCATTCCATTGCCATGTGAAACCAGTTATATCCGAGATAATCATTTGAGACATTTTACCCCAAATGTAACTAATAGTATTTAGTGCATGAATAGCACCTTACAATGAAATCTCAAGTCCACGAAAGAAAAAAGAAAATTTTAGTTGTTTTTTATAAGGTAAGTACTCTCATACACTTTTTGTTGGGCCCGTCCAGGCTCAACTTCTCCCCTTGTGAAATAGCAAGGCTTGAAGCACACGAGTTAGAAAACTCATATGCATCTTTAATTGTCACGGTTGCAAAAAAAATACTTGCCAGAAGTTTGAATGTCCTTGCAGAGACACCATTAATTCACTTGTACTACATTAGACAATAAGAGATTTATGTTCATTTACATTTGTGTTGGATAGTGTCCAAGTTTTTCTTTTTTGGTTATAGATTGAACTGTGGACTTGTTTGTAGCTAATGGTTGATCTAAAGCTCGTGGTACGCACCAATGGTTCATAATTTGCAGGTGTAGCTATTGGTCCAATGAAGGTGCATGGCACGCACCATTCATATATGTATATATTTTCTGTTTTGCACTTGGATTTATGATGTTCTCTCTATTTGAATGGGTCGACATTTTAAAAGAGAATTCTGTAAAAACTATTTGGAAATGAATCCACTCTAGTAAAATCTCCTGAACTTTGTAAACATCAATTATGTGGTCCAATGATTATCGTGTTAAACTCCATGTTTGATATTTTTGTTAGAACGAAATTTAGGATAATGCTTAGCTACTCACTGGTGAGTAGGGTGAGTAAGGTGAAACTAAAACAACACACATCACCTTTAATAATAAAATAATCCACACATTTCACTGTTTTCTCGGATCAATCACGAATAAATGTATATAGTGTTTTCAGGTGTGAGTTATTTTATTATTAAATGTGATATGTTATTTTGTTATTAGACCACATAGGAGTAAGTAGCTTCACCCTATTCACCGGTGACTAGCTAAGTATTATCCATTTATAAATGGTACAAATAAAATGATAAGGTGACGAAGTTTGATTATAAGATTCAGATTTGCGCAATTGAAGAGTGATTTGAGTAAAGAGGACCGAGTTTAGAGATTCCATAACTATCTCTACAAGCAATCTATAGGTCATTATTGTATAAACCATTTTTTATGCTTGAAATTGTTTTCAGGTTTCTTCACACACAAAGTTGCCTTTCTTCACGTCTTAAAATTTTCAACTCTTGAATTTTGTTTCGCTTGCTCTTGAATAACTACTTCCACACTTTATAATTACGGCGTATTGATCTAGTCACTCAATGTTTCACAAGCACGGGTTTTTGGACTTTTCTTTATGCATCATCCACTTAAATTATACTATTGACTTTGATTTATTTTATGGTATTTTAATATTTTTTTTCCTTTTCATAGCATGATCATTTTAATATTGATAACGCGATGATACAATTTGTGTATTATACTCTTTGTCCAAAGTATGTTAATCTAAAGAGGAAATGCTTATGCATGCCGGTCATTTGTCACAACAGCTCAATGAGACACTATTGATCACTTATTTGTCACCTGTGATTAGGCTCGGCAAATATCGGCTTGGTTTGATGATATTTTTCATCATAATATGTCAATTTTTTAAATTCTAATACAACCATGGTTCGTCGTATCGATTGATACGCGACTCTTTTTAAGTTCAATACGTAATTTGTATCGATCAGTTTACACTGATTTTGTCCGAATCTGTTACACCGATCAATACCAATACCATGACCCACTACCCACCACCGCTGCCATCTACCACCCACCACCAGTGTATTATGTATATATGGCAGTAATTACCAATTATTCTAGAAAACAAAGCAAAGATGTGACAAATGAATCAGGGGCTCTCAAATTGTATGAAGGAGAACAAAATTTTAATTTTTTATTTCATATGCTAACCTGAGTCTTGGTACTGATTCGTGAGTCTCCCCACCTGCAATCCATAGTGAATGAATTTGGTATTTATCTATATACATATATAGAAGATATAAGTAATATATATTTGGTCGTGAATCAGCTTGACCCAGTGGAGTATGTACTTATATAGAAGATACGTGTGTATACTAGAATTTTTTTTATTTCTTTTTCTGGAAGGTTGTATGCTCCATTAGTACATCCATTTAAATTTTCAAGCATCCATGTATCCATACCAAACCATGCACTAATCATTAATTTTAGAAACACTTGAAACAATAAACTAAGCGTGTATTTATTATTATTATTAGGGGAAAAATCACATAACCCCTTGTACTAATTTTTTTGTTCAAAATGTCTTCACTAAAATTAAACACCCCTGAACTAACAAAACCCATCAAGTTGTCCCGAAATGACAAAACTACCCTTCTAAGTCAATTGTAAATTTGAAACTTATAAATCTAATTTCTATTTTTTTGGTTAAATTTCAAAATTGTGCAGATGTATCTTCCTTTACAGATCAAAGTCCCAGACTTTGATCATACTGAACTTCGACTCTACGGCGCCGATTGGGCGCCATCGTCCTCTCCGTCGACACCGACTCCGATGAGTTGCAACAGAAGCTCGAGGAAGAACCAAAGTATTGTTGTGAACACTTCCTTCTGCGGCAGTGTTGCCACAATCACCAACCCAGTCAAGTAAAAATTTTGATTTGGACCTCCTTGTGCGACTCCGGCAACATTTTTTCTCTGTTTGCTCCTCTTGTAAGTAGCTAGAAACACCCCAAATTGATCGGACTCTGTCTTCGCTTGAATATTCGCCGCCAAAGGACACCCTGACTCATCGATTCCGGTTGAAATTCTGGCAATTCTTATCGCCGGCGTTTCTAAAATGGGTTCGTCGATAGAGGACGATGTCATATTGGTCCAGAAAAGAAAGAAACAAGGTAAGCCCCATGGCGATCATCGAATCATTGGAAACCTGAACGCCCTGAACGCTGTCGCGAACATCGCTGTCGCTTCGCTAAAGAATCGACCTCAAGAGCCACTAATTTGACGCTTGCGAAGTCGCCGACTCGAAATTCATGTGCACCGGCGGACTCGAAGATGAGTCTCTGTATGTCCTTGTGGTCTCTTCCGACACCGTTCGACAAAGATTGACCGAGAAAGAGTCGTTAAGCCATCTGGTCCCCGACCGAGAGAGTCGTGATGGCCGCTGCGATCGTCGCAACAGTTGAGAGTGAACGGCGAGATCTAGTAGATCAGAATTACGTAGTCGTCGACAATGGCAACGGATGTTTGGTCGGCGAGAGAGCTGGATATAGCTCTAATCGCCGATGAAGTCGAGGAGTAGTGCCCGATTGACGAGAATTCGATGCGGATGAGTTTAAGTGTGTCGAAGGAGAATTCTTCCCATACATATGCAAGAATGTAAATTCACACACCAAGTCTAGTGTATATATATGTGTTTGTAGAATCTCTCTAATTTTCTGCGAATAAAACTACCCACAATGCTATATTTTCACACAAATTTCCCCCGTGTTCAATTTTTCTTTTCAACCAAACAAGTCAACACAAACAGATCAAACAACAATTATAATCAGAATGCTCTAAATCTAAATCATAGGAAGATGGAGATGAATATGGGTTTCTGGTGCTTAAAATCAAAGGAAGATGGAAATGAACAGTAGACCCACCAATCCAAGGGTATTTTTGTAATCTTACAATAATATTATAAGTTTTAAATTTACAATTAACTTAGAAGGGCAGTTTTGTCATTTCGGGGCAACTTGATGGGTTTTGTTAGTTCAGGGGGTGTTTAATTTCGAAAAAATTAGTACAGGAGTTATGTATAATATACCCTTATTATTATTATTATTATTATTATCTGTAATTAATATTTTCTTTAGTTTGAACACAAACTCTCCAGATTCTAGAAAAAGGCACTTAAAAGTACAATTCCAAAACACATGATTATATATACTACGTATATATAATATTAAATGTATATCTTATATATATCCTTTCAATATACACATTAACTACATATATACTTATATTGTAATATATATATATATATATATATATATATATACCCAGCACAAGATTTTGATCACAAAGGCAAAAGAATACATAACAGTGAATCCAAAAGCTCGATTCCTTCTTAGAGTGCTTGCTTGAAGGGAGAGAGAGAGGAAAAAAAAAAAAAATTCTTTACAATAAGTTGAGAGAAGTAAATGTCTTTATTGTTAAGGGGTAATTTTGCTTAAAAATTTATTTTAAAAACCACTTAAACGGATATTAGTTAAAAACACTCTCTAGAATAGTCAAGAAGAGTTTTTTTATCAAAATTATTTATAAGAAGAGTTTTTTTATCAAAATTATTTATAAGGAGAATTTTTTGCAACTGACTAATAATACCATTCAAAAAAAACTGATCGAACAAATTTTTTTATAACTCGCCCAAATATAAGACGTGAATGGAAGACTTTTTTTTCATGAATACATAACCTAAACTTAGATATTAAGAAAATGACAACGTCAACATCGTACGCTTAGCGAAAATTTCCAGTTAAGTGTTAATCCATAGTATTCACGTGACACATAAATTTAAAGATCAGAATAAATGTTTATTCATAACATAAGAAAAAAAATGCATTTCTCATTAATAATATACATGAATTGTTGATCACAAATCTAATGCAATTCCAATTTTATTGATTATATTAATAAACTAGTCTTAGTGGAAGAATTTTAAAATGCTATTTGACTTTTATTTATTTATTTATTTATAATCTATATATTTTAATCAATGCTTTATTTATTTATTTTTTTATGTTTACTTTTCTTTGCAAGACAAGCCGTTGAGACAATCCTAAAGCCAAGTCAAAGTGACAGCACCAAGTTAGACGGTGAAATCAGGGATGAAAGAAAAAGATCACCACTGTATATATTTTAAAGGAGTAAGTCCAAAACACTCCTTTCGTTTAAAGTTACAAATAACATTTCTGCCGTTCAAAAGGGTTTTTTGTAAGAGCGTAGATAAAAATACGAAAATATTTCCCAATATCCTTTATTTAATAATAATAAAAAAAAATTAAAAAAGTTGAAATTACTCAAATAGACATTGACTTAAACTACGTAGTTTTGGGTAATGAAACGCACAATACACTTGTAAACTACGTCGTTTGGCATTAGGGTTATCCAGTTTGGTTAATCAACAGTTGCTGTTTCTGGCGCTCTTCGTCAGAAATGGCGGCGAAAGCAACCTGAGTGCCCTTGATCGGCGTAGTTGGCGTCGATTTCTTCCTCTGGAGCGAATGCAACTCATCGATGGTCTAAGCCTTCACCGTCGGACCACTGTCGTCGTGACACACCTCGTCCTGCTTCTTCGTCTGAATCTTCGAAAGCCCGTTCCGGCCACTCCCATTATTGCTCGCAGCAAAGCTAAACTATCCGTTTCCAACTCCGTTCGCCGCCATCTCTTCCTTTTCTGCACTTTCACACAATTATATATAATATTCGGCGTTATCGCGTCGCTGTTGGAAGGACCGCAATATTCGGCGTCGCCGCGTCGTTGTCGGAAGGACAGACGCCGACCTCGAAAATGATACAAAATCGATTGGCAATATTCCCACAGAAAACTTGATTGTTAAAGCCCGTTTCTATTTATGCATAAAGGTGTTCCTTTGGCTCTCTGTTTTTTTTTTTTTTTTTTTTTTTACTTGGGCTTGAGATTGATGCATATTAGAAGGGTTGGGATTTTGATCCTCATAACCTGAAAATATAGTATCTATCTATATTGACAACCCCATGGTATGTGATGGGTCTGTTTGATTCGTATACTGGGTTTTGCTCCTCCTCTGTATTCTGGGTTTTGTTCCTTTAACCAATCCAATCTTTACGGATAATTTATTCATGTGAATCCAAACCGCATAAGTTAAATTACAATTGAAATCAACAAAGTAAACAAATTGTTGAAATCAACAATTGCAATAACCCCTTTTGGAACAAATGTGTGTGAGATTTCAGATACATATTTGCCTTGTCTTTTCAAAATAGCTGCAAGTCTGCATCGGTGAATCCCTTTTGGGAAGACGTCTGAGCTTGACTAACAACAAAATTGAGTCATGAAAGTGAGACAGAAGACGTCTGAACCTAACAAGGACTCATGAAAGTGTAACACACACACAGAGATTGGAAGCATGTTGAATAATCTAACAGGGGTGAAGTGCAAAAAAAATCGTAATTAATGATCAAATTTTGTTATTTTATCAAAATAATAATAATGATGATGATATATATAATGATCAAAATTTGTTGTTTCATAAAAAAATTTGATTAGCTCCACTGCAAATTCTCAAGCAGTTTCGGCTTTAATTTTTGTTTTGGGTGAATTTCTCTCTCTCTCTCCTCTTAACTCGCCGGTGTTCACGGTGAAGGAGGGTTTTCATTCAATCACCCGGTCAGTGGTTGCCTAATAAAAAATACATATATCAAAAGAAAAGCATTACAGATAAAGAAAAAATAAACAAAATAGGAATATTATATATAGAAATGAGGTGTATTATATATTGATTATTTATAAAAAGAAAATTAATTAATACAAATAATAAAATTAATTATTTAGAGAGAGAGCAGGTAGAGAGGAGAGAATAACAAATTTTCAAAATTTTGTTAATTATTTACAAAAAACTCCCCTGTACCTTCAAAAGTGTGCAAATATCCTCTTTAGGGATGGCAACGGGGCGGGTTTGGAGCGGGTTTACCTAAATCCATCCCCGCCTCGTTTGATTAATGGCAACTCCATACCCGCTCCGTGCCCCGCGACGGGTTAAATTTTTATATCCATCCCCGCCCCAACGATATACAAATTGTTTTCATATCCATTGTTGAAGGGGCGGGACGGGGCGGAGCCCCGGCGGGGCAATAAAAATTGCCACCACTATGTTTTAATACAAAAAGCTTGGAAATGACATAACATATATGAATCCCAATAAAAATAAATAAATAAATAGCATGCTCGTAGCATAATTCAAAGAACATAATCAACAAAAATAAGGGTTTAATACAACCAAATCATAACAAGTTCTAAGCTCCAACTTTCCACCATAACCAAAACAAAAGCAAGTTTACATCCCAAATTATTCAAAATTGAAGTCTAAAATTAACAAAAGATAACAAAAACACAAAAACTGATTTAAATCCCTTAAATGATCTATTGGCATTTGCAATCTCCCATGTCTTCCACAGTGTTCATGAATTAATCAAAACCTGAAAATTATGAACAAATGAATCGTTTAATACATAAAAAAATATCAACAAATTGAAGAAAATAAAATTTATATGAAAACTATAATTCCAATGATCATCAAGCAGTCTTGAAAAACAACAATCTTATGTTCAACACCGGTGTGCTAAATTGCTAGCTTGTACCAGTTGTACCTTTTCAATAAAAAATACAAATGTTCGTTACAATTCGTGACCCCTTGCCTCTCTGTTCATCAATTAACACATATGCACAGACAGCTTCACTAAAATGCTTCATTAAAGCCGCTACTGATGTTGAGAGAGAAAAAGAAAGCCAATGAAAGAGACTCACCGCTGCTCCTATAGAGACAGATTGGTGTCTACTACTAATTGATAAGGTCTGGTGTTCCACACAAATTTCTGCATCTTTTTCACGCTCAATATCTTCTGTAACTATCAACTATAACACTGCACTCTCCTAAGTCTGGATAATACAAGATAAATCAAAGTATAGTAGTACTAATTAGCACACTAAATTTTAATTTAATACTTGCATAACTCATGTACTATAACAATATCTGATGAGATCAAAACAGATCTTCTTTTAGTAATTGATGGTGACTAATTGTACAAAAAACTATACATTGATTTAACAATAGTTAATATTACTAAACTGCAAAAAGGAGGGGGAAGGAAAAACAAAAAAAAAAAAAAAAAACTATACCTTGAAGCCTTTTAATCTTTTTCTTCATCACAGATTGTTAACCGAGAGATTCCAGCAGAAAGAGTTGACGCCGATGCATTTGCTGCAAAACAGTGTAAAATTTTTTTTAAAAAAAAATGAAAAAGAATAAAACTAAATGGGACATTCAATATAAAAGCATATTTAAAATTTCATTACCTTCTAGATCATTCCACAACCAAGATTGAGAACACATCAAAGCCTCTATAAGGCCAGGACTAAGTCGACTGCGATGTGGACTCACCAACCTACCACTTGTACTAAATGCTGATTCAGATGCGACAGTTGATACTGGAATAGCCAAGATGTCTCGAGCCATCAGCTGCAATGTAGGATACTTACTCTTATTTGCATCCCACCAATTTAAAATGTTAAAATCCATGGTGCGTGGCAAGACAGGTTCATCTAAGTAATGGTCTAACTCTGATTTCACATTCCCAATCCTTGACAAATCACTAACAACTATATCATACTCGGCATAAATGTCCCATTCTTTACTTGTAGAGCTTGAATATGCAGCCAATCCACTTAGATCTTCACTTAGACTAGTTCCCTCCTTTACTTCTATCTTGATACTCTTGAAGTAAATCATAACATGCTTGGCGTACACGATCTTTTTGAGAGAAATATTCGTCCCCATGTATCCTCTGAAGAACATGCTCCAAAAAGGTCATTTTATGCCTTGGGTCTAACACTATTGTTATTCCTGCAACAAGATGGCACTCACTCCAATACTTATCAAATTTCTCCATCATACTTGCTGCCATTTTTTTTACCACCTCGTTCTCACAATTGCACCAACTACGCAATGCCAATTTTACCTCACAAATTTTTGGAAAGAGACAATTTGTGGTGACAAATCGAGTCCCAGAGAAAATTTCAGTAATAGAATAAAATAGTTCCAATCTCCGACAAATTTCTTGTGCTAAGCTCCATTCCTCCTCCGATGGCAAAGATGTATAAAGTCTCTCACGTTGTTTCAATCGTGGAAACACATCCTTATAACATATAGCTGTTTCAAGCATCAAATATGTAGAATTCCATCTAGTTTTGCAATCAAGAGACAGTTTTTTATGGCATGGATTTTTTAATTGACTGGCTGCCTCCACAAATTTTTCTTCTCTAGCTTGGCTAGCCGTCCAAAAGTGAACACTATCACGAATTTTCCCAATTGCGCCTCCAATTATATCTAGACCATCCTTCACAATCAAGTTTAATATATGTGCAGCACAACGCATATGAAAAATTTTACCATCCAAGAGAAGTGACTTACTACGAATAGACAACTTGTTCGAAAGACCCTGAATCAATGCATCATTGGTTGTACAATTATCTACCGTAATAGTAGATATCTTTCTGTCCAAGTTCCAATCCAGGAAGCAATTCATAAGTGCATCACAGAGAATCTCACTTGTATGTGGAGAAGGCACATAAACAAACCTGAAAGTATTCATGAATTAAATATAAAAGTTAGTCACTGATGGATAACTAACTTTTGAGATATCATGTTATTGAAACAAAACAAATAAAAAAAGATTAAATACTTACCCAATAATCATATTTTGCAAGCGCCAAAATTCATCAACATAGTGAGCAGTGATTGACATGTAACCTCTTTTCTGTCTAGAAGACCACATATCAGTCGTGATAGCAACTCGACTCTCAAGTTTGTCAAACAACCTATAAGCTTTCACTTTCTTCGACTGATAAAACTTCATAATATCACTCCTGATTGTATTCCGAGTCATCATTGTGAAGCCGGGCTGGAGGCTGCTAACAAACCTTTTAAATCCAATATGCTTAACAATACTAAGAGGATACTCATGCAAAAAAATTGCATTAGCAAGTTCATTCCTTGAAACTTCTTGGGTAAATGTAAAATTGCCAAATTGCATTGACCCATCAACATTTGGAGGACGTGCAATCATTTTTTGACGTATATCAGTATTAGTTCGCTTCACACACCTCTTTAAATGTTGTTTTAAATGACTAGTACCAGATGAAGGTTCAGCAACAAGCTTCTTCTTACAATGATGACAAATAGCAAAAGACCCCCCATTTGGCCCATCCAATATCACATTTTCAAAATCCTTCCAAACTTTTGAAGTCAATTTTCTCTTCCTCGCCTGTGATGTTGCGAGTCCTGTGACCCCTGAACTTGGAGTGGGTGCTGATTCAGAATTGATTTCAATTGGTGCATCAAAACTTGTAGGTTGTGTAGTTGATGCAGATGGCACACTTTCCATATTTTGAGTTGGCTGGGACATTATATCAACCACTTGCTAGATAAAAAAAATATAGAAGTAATTAATTTAAAGGTTCACTTTCAATTGATAATCAAACTGACAAATGAACATGATAAAGGAGAATGAGAAGTGCCAATATAATTGAATAAAACAAAAAAGCTTGGTTTTTTAAAATATAAAAATAAAAAAATAAAAAATTTAATTCCCAAGTGGGTCATCCACAACCCATTATCACGTAGACGAAAAAAAGAGTAGTTTTTTATAGATTAATCAATCAACAAATGTAAAATCCAAAACAACTAAAACATTATTGCATAGGAGAGACGAAAAAAGAGAAAAAAAATTACCTTCTCAACTAGTATTCAAATTTGTAATAGTCCAGTCTGAGGAGTTCAAGCTTTCATCGTCGTTCTACCTAGAATTCAAGCTATCTGTTCTAAAGGAACGTTATCAGACTCCAATGCACAAGTGGGTATGATAAAATATATATATAATAAACATAAATATATATATCCACTGAAATAATATATATATATATATATAACTTAAATCATAGACTACATCAAAAAAACAAAAAGATTTACAGAAATCAAAAACCTTAAAAATCAAGACCAAGTACGATATCAGAACCACAAACATAGAGACATAATCATACTATTCATACATGATATCAACGAAATAATATTAGAGTATGAAAAAACAAAAAAAGTCATGAGAGAGAGAAGGATGGAATACCTGATAAAGAGAAACAAAAAAATTAGGGTTGTGTAACTTGTAGAGTTGTTATATTATATAAATTGATTATAAGTTATTAATATTATATATATATATATATATATATATATATATATATATAGTTATATGTTTAGCGGGGCGGGGCGGGGCGGGACGGGGCGGATATGAATTAGAACCCGTACCCGCCCCATGACCCTCGACGGGTACAAAAATATATCCATACCCGCCCCAACGGTATAAAAATTGTTCTCATACCCGTTATTGAAGGGGCGGGACGGGGCGGAGCCCCGGCGGGGCGATAAAAATTGCCACCCCTAATCCTCTTTGGCCATTTTGGGTAGTGCAAAAGGGTATTTTAGTATTAAAGCACAATTTTTGCTCACATGCATGGCACATGGCAAATTTATTGGTCAGAAGCCCTTATTTGCAACTTTTTGAAATTAGAGGGGTCAATTTTGAACGACATGGGTGTTATTTGCAACTTTTTAAAACTAGAGGGGTGTTTTTTGCACTTACCGCATATTTTAAATGTAACCTAGTCTAAGTAACATAAAGCACAAGCGGGAACGAAAACTAATTTAAGAGCGAGAGCATGAGCGTGAGCGTAAGAGTAACAATTAAGTCATAAGTAGTGAGAATTTAAGCGAGAATACGTAAAAAGCGTGAGAGTGAGAGCACGCTCGGAACGTAATAGTAACACTTGTTGAGATGAATTGTGTGATTTAGAGCATCTCGAGCGGTTTGTTAAAAAACTATTTTGTGTAAAATATACACTGTCACATATGATTTGTAAATTTTTTTCATCTCCAGCAGTCTGTTAAGATAAACTGCCACATCACCCATGTATAAAAAGGGTTTTGTATTTTACACAGTACTTTTATACTGCCGTGTAAGCAATTATTTTCTCTCTCCTCCCCTTTCCCACCCGCGGTTCTCTTTTTTGTCTCTCATTCCTTTACGACTCTTTGTTTCCCACTTTTCTATAGTGCAATAGAGAAGAATATGTAACTGGCGGCAAGATAAGAACTGCTCGACCATCTTTTATTTATTTATTTTAATAAACATAGTTTGATTCATTATTTTCGTTTGATCTTATCTTCTGCAATTATACTGTAGATTCTAGGGGATTCTACGGTTTTTTTAAAAATTTTATCATATTGTAGATTCTAGAGTTTTTTTAGATTTTTTATCTTTTTACATTTTATTCTAATGAGATAAATATGTACTAGCCAGATATTAGATATATATATATTTTAATTACGTAGTTTCTACATACTTGAATCTTAATCTTATTTTATTATTTATTATAAGTTAGAATTCCGGTAGCGATAATGTGAAAGGTTTGTTATTGACGGGATGAGAAAGTGAAATAGAAGGGGAAATTATTTTTTTTTCCTAAGTGAGAATGATTGGGACGCGAGGTTTAATCGCCAAAAAAAAAACTAAATCAAGTAGATTTGTAAAAGTTATGTAGGGCCTGGGGTATAACACGTGGTTGATTGTTATTATAGGATAATTTTTTTACACAAAAGGTATAAAAATAACTGCTGGAGTTAAAAATAGTTAGTACAAAATTTTTGTGTAAATCTACTCTGACACACTAGATTTACACAAAAAAATTTAACAGACCACTGGAGATATTCTTAGGTACTAGTAGTAATTTAAGTAAAAATCTTTCTTTTTTTCATTTTTTCCTTTTAAGTACTTAATGGGTTGCATAACTCAAGTTGATATATATATATATATATAGTAGTGATATCTTACTCCACGTTAAGTAAGAAAATTCATTCCTATTTTTTATAGTGACTATTATTAGATGTAAACAAAGGGTCACGATAGAAACCACCTATATCTTTTCATTTTAATAAAAAAAAATCATTATCACTATTTATAGTTTCCAAATTTAATATTTACCAATTTTACTAATTACAAAGGTGAATGCTATGGATTAAGCATATTTTAATGATTATAAAATTGTATCTGATTTGAGATCTTCTAGTAATATAGTAAACAAATTCCTTCGTATGCTATTTAATAATATAATGCTTTGTAGTATAAACAACATTTCATTAAATAAAACAACAAATTGGTGAGATTGGAAAGCAGCCCAATAGAGTCCCAAAATGACTTTGATATTAATTTGCTATTTGTTTGTTCGAGGGATAAAATTATATTTATAAAAAATAAAGAGGGATTGTATGGTCTAAAATAAATTATCTACCCCGCAATTTTAAAAGCAATAATTCCCAAACACTTAAACATGCTATTTGGATGTAACAACTACCACCTAAAAGTGCTTTTTTTGTTCACCAAACACTTTTCCACTCAATTTTTTCGATTGAAAGCCCTTAAGAACAACCGCAGCGGGCTTGCACAAGCCCAAATTTCGCGAGAGTCAGGCTATTTGGTTGCGCAGTGGGCTAGCTAAAGCATGGGGGCCCCACTTTGCCTCGTAGGCCGGCTCGCGGTATTCAGTGAGCCATCCACGATAGCTGTTATTTTATTTATTTATTTTTTTCTAAAGCAAAACGGCGCCGTTTTGCGTGAGCCCATTTTTGTTTTTTTCTCAAGCGCGATTGAACAGTGCCTAAAGTCACTGTTTGGCAGAATTTTTTTTTTTTTTTTTGAAAAAACCTAAAAATTGGTTATTTTGATCTCTCTCTCTTTTTTTTTTTTAAAATAATAATAAAATTCATTAAATAAAAATATATATTGTTTAGGCACTGTTTGTCCAAAAAAAAAAAATTATTTGGGCCAAAAATAAATTAAAAAACCTTTTTTTTTTTTTTTTTTTTTTTTGCCCCCTTAAAATTTGTTTTTTTTTTTAAAATTTTTTTTTTTGCTTTAAATTTTAAATGTATACCACAAACAATGCATTTGTCCGTTAAGGCACTGTTTGGCTGACACAAATAGTGCCTTAACGGTTATAGTTTTTTTATTTATAAAAAGTATAATTATTGATTTTAATTTTTTAGTCTTTAGAAATATAGCGGTTTAGGAAAAGTTAAAAAAAAAATTAATTTTAATTTTTTAATTTTTTTTTGTTGGAGAGCGAAAATCTGGAGAGTCTGATGGAGTGTATGTTTTTTGAGAGCCAAAGCCTTGAAAAAGTTAAAGAGCCAAAATCGGGAGAGACTGGTGCAGATGGCCCAAGGGAGACATAGGAACTTCAAATGTGGTGATGGTGGCAGTGGTGAGATTGGAAAGCAGCCCAGCAGAGTCCCAAACTGACTTTGATATTAATAATTTGTTATTTGTTTGTATGAGGGATAAAATTATATTTATAAAAAATAAAATGGGATTGTATAATCTAAAATAAATTAGTTACCTAAAAAGATTAATATCTACCCCGCAAATTTAAAAGCTATCATTTCCTACTACACTTAAACATGCTTTTTGGATGTAACATCTATCACCTAAAAGTGCCTTTTTTTTCTTTTTTTTTTTTTTTTTTTTTTTTTTTTCACCAAACACTTTTCAACTCAATTTTTTAGACTGAAAGCCGTTAAAGGAGACATAGGAGGGTGAACTTGTAAATTCAGTTTGTATGGAGAAAGAGAAAATTCTCTGGTCTATGATTAATGAAGAGACTTGATTTTCTTGATAATTACTTTTTATTATTGTATTGATAAATATTTAAAAAATTAGAAAAAACAACGGTGGTTTTGTATTAAAAAAAATTGAATATATGTGGACTTTAGATTTAATAGTCTGCCATGAATTCTATGGGAGACTATATATATATATATATTAAATGTAACAAACAGTAATAATTTAAGTAAAAATATTTCATTTTTTTCCTTCTCTCTCTCTCTCTCCTTTTAATATCAATTCCTTTCATTGTCTAATAAAAGAGTTCACCGCAGTGGATCCAAACCCCTGCAGTCCGTACATCTCTCTAGCAATCGAGTTCGAGATCGAGCTACGAGCCTACGACGAAAGGGTATCGTCGCAGTCGCTAGAACGTCGCTAGAACCTGGTAAGATTTGATATCATCATTCATAATTTGTTCTACAGACTTTACATCTCATCTTTCTGCGAATTCAAACTCGGCTGCGTAGTGTTCGTTCACTCGTTACAATCTTTCGCTTTTGATTAAGATTACCAGGGTTTCATTTGTTGAATTTCATTTAATTTCAGTATTTTCTTCTGTAGTTCGTTTTCATTTACATCAGGTGGTGATTCAATCTGGTTGTAACGATTATATACATACATTGAGGTGAGATTACTTCATAGATTTAGCGAAAATGATGGTTGAAGATCTCGGCATCGAGGCCAAGGAGTCCGCGGTTCGCGAGGTCGCCAAGCTGTTGCCGCTTCCTGAGCTTCTGCAATCCATTGCATCAATCAAGGCAGACTACATTTCGCGTCAACAGGTTTGAATTCGATTTGTTTTCTATGCAAAATTTCTGAGTTCTTGACTATTTTTCATTTGAACAGTGTCCAATTATTCAAAATTATTGTTTCAATTGTTGTTTATTGAATTATTTTACTGGATGCATACTTATTAAAGGACTGGGTTTGTCATAGGTTGCTCAGTTTTGAACTATTTGGAAAATAGTACATTTTGGAGTTGGGTCTTGGTTTGAAACATGCCTTTTTTGGAAAGGTGTACTCTTTGATGCGATCTGGCGGATTAGAATGGCGCTCTTTTGTGTATTGGGCTAAATTAATAAGCATATGATTATCGTAATTGCAAAAGATTCACAACCAATTCTTATAAATAAATCTTACAATTGATGATGAAAGAGTTGCTCAAAATAATTATTTTCGTTACCTAGGATCAATACCCCAAAAAGATGGGGAGTTAGATGGTGACGTAATGAGTAGAATTGGAGGGGTGGACAAAATGGAGGCAAGCTAGTGGTATACTTTGTGACAAAAGAATACCAAATAAATTAATAGGAAAATTCTATAGAACGGTCATTAGACCAGCTATATTGGATAGAGCAGGGTGTTGGGCGTTGAAAAGACACAAGAACAACGCATCCATGTTGTGGAAACAAGGATGCTACGTTGGATGACAGGAATAACTAGAAAGATAAGATTAATAATGAATGCGTGTGGGGAACACTAGGTATAGCGCGTATAAACGATAACATTAGAGAAAGTAGACTTAGCTATAGACCCCATTGATATGTGATAAGCGAGGATAATGATGTGATGGTTCCATTTGTTAAGCATTTTCCTCTGCAAAGGAAAACTTATGAAAGGATGACAGATACTTTTGAACTAACCACATAACTGCATGGTTGGTGGAATTTGGAACAAAATGTTATAAGGTATGATGAATTAGTTGGTATTTGCCTCTCTTTTTTTTTTTTTTTTTTCCTGCTCTTGCTTTGATCGGATGACATGCTTGCATATTATTCATATTCAGAATTTTGATTTATTTGCATATTTTCAGTATTTTATCGGCAAGTGCTATAATCCTATTAACTAACATAAAGGTTTTTTAAAATTAAGCTTTATTTCAATGTTTGTATGTGCATTTGGCCTTCGAGGCCTTAGAACGGGAATAGTGCTCTAATACCAATGGATGTCGGAAGGAAGAATGCTTCATTGCTTTGATAACACTCTATGCAAAACCAGGAGATAAAGAAAAAGAAGGAGAAGAAAAATATAAGGAAAATAAGAAGAATTAAAGGGTAGAAAACTCTTTAGTCTTAACTCAACAAAGCCTTTTCCCAACTACTTGGGGGTTGGCTACATGAATCATATTTTTCATTTTGCTCTATCTAAGGCCAAAGTTGCAGTCATACCACATCTCGTCATGTCCTTTCTTACTAACTCTATTCAAATTAACTTTGACCTTCCCCTTCTCTTAGCATTACCCTCGATGTGGAAAGAGAGGTAACACTATTGTTAGTTGGTGTTGTCTATGTAAAACAGACTGTGAGTCCGTGGATCACATTCTTATGCACTGTCCTGCGGCGTATGATTGTTGAAGTCTCATCTTCGGCATTTTTGGCATTCATTGGGCAATGCCTCAGTCCTCCATAGAACTGATTAACGCGTGCAGAAGATGCCCAGTGAAAGGTCATGCTCGTGACTACTGGAGGATAGTTCCACACTGTGTTTGGTGGTGTATATGAAGAGAGAGAAATAGCAGAAATTTCAAAGGAAAGGAATAGTCTTTGGCGAACTTAAAAATTCATATTCTTCATTCTCTTTTCTGTTATGTGAGCTTGCTCCTCGACTGATGACTTAGTTGACCTTTTGGACTCTATTGGTCCTTAGGTTCAATTTTCGCTTTTTGTATTAGGGACGCGTTCCCCTATTGAACGCTTTTCTAATCAACTTTTACTTATCAAAAAAAAAAAAAACATTAACCTTGATGTGGACCACACCACTCTTTCTAACTAGCACACTTATTTGTTTTCTTTTTACATATCCAAACAATCTTAATTGATTTTCTCTCATTTATTTCTAATTGTTGCTACTTCAACTACCTCACGATTATGTTCATTTCTAGTTTTATCCTTTCTTATCTTGCTTTACATCCATATCAACATTCACGTTTCTTTCTTTCTTTCTTTCTTTTCTTTTTTTTTTTTTTTTTTTGATAAGTAAAATGTATTAGAAAGTGTTCAATTTTATTACACTTCATAGATTCGATTTTATTTCTACTTATCTTTTACTCTTTGAATTATAGAATTTTCCTCCAGACCTCCAATTTAGCACTTGGTCCTCTAGTTTTATCAATTAAAAAGTATCATTAGCAATTAACACACTCCATGGAATCTAGTCCTAAATGTGTCTAGTTCATCCATAATTAAGAAAAAAAAGATATAGGCTTAATGCTTACTCTTGATGTAAGCCTACAGTAATTGAAAATTCAGTTTTTTCCCACACAGTCGTTCTAACTATAGTCACACATCCATCATACATTTCCTTTGTGATTCCTTTTATTTCTAAAACCCTTCTTATTAGATCTCAAAGTACTCTATCATATACTTTTTCTAAATAAATTAAATCTTATGAAGATCTTTCTTCTCTCTATATCTTTCCATTAGTCTTGTCAATATATAATAGCCTCCATCATTGATTTCTTCGGCACGAATCCAATTTGATTTTTTGACACTTCAGTTTTCTATCTTAATCACTGTTCAATCACTTTCTTCCAAAGGTTTGTAGTGTGTCCCCTTTATTTTTATATTTATGTATTAAGATAAATTATCAAAAAATAAAATAAAAGTATATATATATTAAGATAATTTTGTGACAATCATCGGGCATTCTCTTAGCTGTTACTATCTTGTTAAACAAACTATTAGCCAAAACGCCCCATCATTTCCTAAACACTTCCAAACCTCAATACGGATGACGTCATCTAGTCTCAAAGCCCTTCCTGGTTTCATATTTCCTTATACATTTTTAACCTTGCACTTAGAAATATATGTTACCCCTAGGTTTACTATATTTTCTAAGCTTAACTTCCCATATGATTTCATTTAACAATTTCTCAAAGTAGCTTTTTGATCTTTCTTTATTTTCATCATCTTGTATTAAAATCCTTAAATCTTCACTCTTAATACATTTAATATGGCTAAAAATCTCTAGTGTTCCTCTCCCTTAGTATAGCAAGTTTATATATATATTATATTTATCCCCCATCTTTTGTGCCCAATTTAGAATAGAGATCACCGTATTCTCTTTATTTAGCTTTTCTCACTACTTTTTAAAACTTCCTTATTGACATTTTTTTTTTGTATTTTTTAAATGTTTCTCAATTTGTAATTTTTTTGCCAAACTTCATAGCATTCTCACTTTGTTTTTATGATGTTTTGTACCGGTTCATTCGACTTTTAAGTTTCTTTGGATAATGGCCCTGTTCCAAGGATATCTTTTGATACTCTTTCAATACATTCAATCATCCTACTTCGCATTGTGTTTGTTTCATCTTCTATATTCGACATTGCTTTTGTTAAGATTTTATTCTTAAAATAATTCTACTTTATCCCCTTGCAAATTTTTATCACCTAATTCTTGGGTCCATTATTCATTCTCTTCTTTCAGGTTGTCTTTATGTACATCTAACTAGTAGCATGTGTTATGATGTTAAACTCTTTCTTAGGGTAACATTGCTATCTTTACTTGTTAACCAATCTACCTTTCTAGTTAGTAAGAAGTTGATTCGGCTCATACTGATCCACTTTTAATGGTTGCAAAATAGTTATCTCTTTAAAATAAGTTTTTCCAATTATAAGATTCTATGCCACTGCAAAATCTAAGCAAGCCTCCCCAACATCATTTCTATCTCCAAATTTTTTGTCAGTCATGTACCGTCTCATACCCTCAGCCTCCTCTTATGTATAATTTTTTTCCTTCGGGTATCCCATTGATTAATCCATCTATATGCTCCCAAAATTGTGGCTTAACTTGTTCATCTAGTCCTACTTTGAAGTGCCCAGGCGCTAGGTATATTAACTATATTTCCTCCTAATACAAGTTTTACTCATATTTTTCTATCCTTGTTTCCAATAACGGTTACAAATTCTTCTTTTAAATTATCAATGATTACCCCTACTCCATTTCTTTGTCTATCTTTTCTGGTATGACAAAGTTTATATACCATCTTCTCAATTTCTCTAGCTTTTCCTCCTACCCATTTAGTTTCTTGTAAATATACTACGTTAAACCTTTTTCTATTTATAGTGTCTACCAACTCCATTCCCTTGCTGTTAGTGTTCCTATATTCCAGGTTCTATCCTAAGCCTACATTATTTAGCTAACTTTTTTTTAGCCGCGCTCGTCCAGAAAAACGTGAGAACCCAAAAATGTGAGAACCCATGCCTACTTTCTACTGCATTTGGGTGCCGATGCCTCGTCCCTTACCCATTTTTAAAGCATTTGGAAGCTGATGTAAACAAGTCGCTTAAAGTGAACTCCCTAGCATTTAGTCTTTTCATAGAGTCTTGACAAAAGTTGCCCAAATAATAAAAACAGTTCTCCCACCTGTAAATAAGGGTATCATCGCAGGTGCAACTAGATCTGCGAGAAAAGCTGAACTATGGAAGGATTCATGGATCTAGGACATTCAAAGGAAGAATCCTCATGGGGTAGATCTTCCTCAGCACACATGCCTTGGTCTTCCTAAACTCACAAACAACTCCCACCCCACAAAGGGGAGGAGTGATGGACTAAGTGTGGAAGATTCTCGGTATGCCCCGGGTCGCGAGAGAGCACATAAGGCTAAAATTAGCGATAGTGCGGCTGCATTGAGATAAGGGCTCGAGTGTACCTTCACTAAATCACTCATGTAGATTGATTAGTGGAGATACTATCAAGATAACTGTCTACGCTAAAGCCCACGATCTGGGATAGTGTTCTCTGTGATGGGGGCCATGTGAGCTTTCTATCAGTTCCTTCTTACAAGAGAGATGAGTAACATGTTGCGACGTTACCACCTTTTTTGATAGATGGAACCCCTGAAAGGGTCGTGATGGTTTCCAGGCTGTCGGCATGAATGCGCTGTGCCACAGCTTATTCTGCTATGGTGTCACGTTGATTCATACGGTGTCATAGTCCAGGAACGGAAAATTGGGTTGTTGAGGCACGGTGGATTGAGAGAAGGGTGAATCAGGCTGGGGTCGCGAGGGTCACATAAGTAACCCGTGAACCTCACAAAAGGGTAGTCGCGGCCTGACCAAAGAAATAACGGAATGGGCACATGGCGTAATGACAAGATTCCACAAAGGATGATTACTGCCTGTGCCAGGAAACCTATAAATGACGAAGGTACCTGTGACGTAACTCGTAAGGGAAGCATTCAAGATCCCCTTTCCAGTCTATTATTATCCTCTCCCCTCCCCCCCCCCCCCCCCCAAAAAAAAAAGTAAAAAATAAATCTTCATATCTCAAGTTCCTTCTCTTTTCAGTCTTAAGCGTGAGCCATTCCTTTATATTCTCACCCAATCATTTCTTATAGCAAAAACCCTCACAAAACCTAATTCTACCAAAAGCCCTTAATTCTACTAATCTTTGCCCCCTCTTTGGAAGTAGGTGTGAATCTTATGTTGCTCAAGTTTGTGAGTCGTGTGAGCCATTCCTTTATATTCTTACCCAATCATTTCTTTTGGCAAAAACCCTCACAAAACCTAATTCTACCAAAAACCCTTAATTCTACTCAACTTTGCCCCCTCTTCGGGAGTAGGTTTGAATCTTATGACGCTCAAGTTTGTGAGTCATTCCTCCACCAATTGATGCAGGATGGAAACCTACAGGATACCAACTTGTTGTAGGATTAGAAAGAAGGAAATGAGTAGGAAAAACATGAAATGAGGTGCTAGACAGAAAGGAATTAGAAGTCAGATATGCTTACAATATTGTGCATCTTACATCTGGAGGTCTGCCTTCGACATGCCTCTACCTTCTAGAAATTTTGAGCTTAAAGTTGTCCATCTCATCTCAAGAAGCTGGTGAGAAGTCAGATATGCTTGTCAATTATAAGCTCAGGCAACCTGCATGGTACACTATCAGTAGATGACTTGTTAGAATTTTAAGCATTTATAGCCTACAAGTTAAGAAAATGAATTTCTTTAAGTTCATTAGATTTCAAGATATGTGTAATGCTCTGATCTTATAAATCTGTCACAAGAATACAGATCATGGCATGAAGGATAATATATTGACTGATACGGTTCATTAAAGGAGCATCTTCTCTATGGCATAAGCTGGTCAATGTTTCAGATTATGAATATAATTATGACCCATATATTTGAGTGGATATCTGGTGCTATTGGGCCTCAACTTTGTATGTGTCCACTGTTTCCGTGGATTTAGTTAAAGCTTTTATGCTTTGTATTCCTGTTGTATAAAAAGCTTTCCAGTTTGTTTACTTAATAAATCTGTGCTTTGATTTCAGGCAAATGATGCACAGCTTAGTACGATGGTTGCAGAACAGGTACACCTGCACTCCTATCTTAAGTCCTAATAGTCAGAAAAGTTGTTATCAATGCTAGATAATTTTCCCACCCCGCTCTTTCTATTGTAGTTACCTTCTGATAAGCTTTTAGAGCTGAGGAAATTATATCTCTCTAATTATTGCATATTCTAATGTGTCCTACTTAATTATATCCTGAACTGCAGGTTGAACAGGCACAAGCTGGGCAAGAATCACTTACCTCATCTCAGAAGACAATAAACCAGCTTCGCGAGAACTTTGTTTCTATTGAAAAGTATGTGTTGGATGAGGCATTATAACTTTAAAAGTCAATATATGACTTTCCTAAAGGTTTCTTATTTTGTTGACCATTCGCATGATTGTTTAGCTTCCATGCAATTTGACATATTTAGCTGAGGCTGATTGGAGTGATTGCCTTGTGCATCAGGCTATGTCAAGAATGCCAAACATTAATTGAAAATCATGATCAGATCAAGCTCCTTAGCAATGCGAGGAATAACTTAAACACAACTCTGAAGGTGGATGTAGCTTTTATTCATGATTACTCTTTTTGCATATGTATGTTGGATGTGTACATGCGTGCTGCATATGTATGTTGAATGTGTACGTGCATACTGCATATGTATGTTGAATGTGTACATGCGTGCTACTGTATTCTAAAATTGCACACACCAGAATGCTGCCAGCAGGGTATTACCTGCTCGCTGCTAGATCCTTGAAACTCCTATAGAAAGTAAGGGGTTTCATTAGACCAGCAAGCCATGGGTGATTATGCTGTTTAACTCTCACTAGTTTTTTAGTGAAACAGGGTTCCATAAACTGTTAGTGCAGAGGCTTGAAGTTCTATGACTTCTTTATCTGTTTTCTGTTCGGTGGACATCTAACTTCTTACTCTTTTGTAGGATGTGGAGGGAATGATGTCTATTTCTGTTGAAGCTTCTGAGGCACGGAACTCTTTGAGCGATGACAAGGAACTCATCAATACTTATGAGGTAGAGCTGCTCTTAATATAATGAATTTCTGCCTGAGTAAATCTTACATTCTGACAAGTGGTGCATTGATTGTTGGTCTCCTATGTATAATTTTGCATTTTTCTTAGAGGTTAACAGCTCTTGATGGAAAGCGGAGGTTTGCATTAGCAGCTGCAGGATCTCACAAAGAAGAGGTCGGCAGACTAAGGTCAGCATTTGCTCCTTTAGTTTGAAATTTGTTACATTTATGGTAGTTCTTAAAGTAAGCTCACCTTGGTTAAAAGTTCCTGTCAGTTGCTGTGTAGCTCCCTTGATATGCTATGCATTTTTAATTACTTGCCACCTCACTGGTAGTAGTCCATCAGGACTAGGAAGAGTCTTGCTTTGACAATCCTTTGTTTTCTGTTATGCCAGCAGCTAAGCCATTCTGTATCACTTAGTTCTGAAATTTAGTATTTGGCACTGTCAGCATTGGTAATTTTTTTTTGGCTTGTTGGCAAAATCATTTACCATAAAATTAGATTCCAATGCTTATCTTTAGATGGAATTAGAGGTGAAACCTATGCTGGGGCAATTGTGGGTGAAAGAAGGAACAAAAAAAAATCACAAACTATGATTTTAAACAACAAAGAAACCCGAGTCTTTGTACCACTTATTATTTGTCCCAAAGAAAGTGGTATGTGCTAACAGGTTCCACAGTAATCACTTGGAGGATAAATATAACTGTTTGAGGTATTAATAATTAAATCTACACCCTCTTTAACCATTTGAACTTTTAAAGTAGATGGTGGTTGACATGGTAACGCGGTAGGCAAGGTTTTGAGTTAGAACTTCATTCACTATGATCAGTTATAATTGATGCACATGTTAGCCCACTCTTGATGACAAGTCTGGTCAGCGGTGAGGGGCCATGTTACACCCTTTCTAACAGTTTAGATTTAAGAGGAGATATTGATTAACATGATACCAGAGTAGGCAACATCATGAGTTCAAATCTTACTGCTACCCTGATAATTTATTTGGTCCACGTATTGGCCCACTCATGATGAAGAGCCTAGCTACATATGGCGGGGGGCAGTTGGAAGATATAAATTAGTTATGTTACACTCTAACAAAGGGTGATTAGCCATTCTTAGGATTTTCCGTTGAACTCTCATGTGAAACAATTGAAAACTCTGGCTATAAAATGTGTTATATTATAGAAATTTAATTCACAGCCCTATCTTATTAGTAGTGTGGAGTTGCAACTCTTGGGAAATGAGACAAGGATCAGACTTTTTCTGTGACAACTATTAGATTTTTTTGTATCTCTTCACAAGTGGACACAATATTGGGACAACTTTTAATATTACAATTAAATGATTCTGTAATTAAAGAAAAACCTTAACAACCTGTCTGTATGCACCATAACATGTATAATGTGGAGTAGATGATGAGTTGACTGAGACAGGCCTTTCAACATGTATAATTTCAACATGTTGATGATTTTTTGGCAGACATTACTAACTTGTTTATGTTGGATTATAAATGTGGACATTTCTCAGAGAATATTTTGAAGATGTTGATCGCACTTGGGAGACATTTGATAAGACATTATGGGGTCATATTTCAAACTTCTTTGACCTTGCTAAAGAAAGGTATACTTGTTTTCATTTGAAGAATTACTGGAATTTTGGTCGTTGATTTTTTGCATTAGGATTGTTTCTTATCTCATGTAATAAGATTCACTGAGATGCTTTTGCTAATGTCTTCTCACTTATATGGTTATATTATCTATATTTACTTGTGTAACGTATATGTGTTTGAACTTTCTTTTGGTCTAAGGGCTTACACAACAGGGGATAGCCTTTCTCCTTCCATAATCCCCTCCAACCTTGATAGAGATGGGATTCAATCCCAGGTTTCTAATACAACAACTTAGAGTTAGAGGCTTCACCATTAAGGCTTGCTTGCGCAGAAGCATGTCTCTCACTCTCTGCACACACAAACACACAAAAACTCACACAAAGATTAGGCAATATATGTTCAAAGGATAGGAAATGTGCTACCAGATCTTCCACCTACGGTAAGTCAACTTCAGGTCAGATGTGTTGATCTGGCCATTTTATGCAGTGATATTGTATTGTATTCTCAAGGCAGAGTATGGATGAAATTGCTGGAGGGAAGAATTTGATGAGATTATGTCTGTGAGCACTCATGAAAAGATTGAGGTTTGGAAGGAATTCTGACAGGCATCTTGTTTACAATTCGTTATTGGTTCTAGATGCAAATGTGAAATGGGCTGTTCTAACTATTATGTCTCTGCAATTCCCTATCCCAAGATAAACTGTATAATAAAAGTAATAAATAATGTGACGAAAGCAAAAATTTACACATTTGCCATTCTTGTTATTTTTATTCATAGTGGTGTGTTTTCATCATGGTTCAATTGATAAATTTGACAATTCTATTGAAGTCATTGTATCCTATCTAATATTGGATGACCGATCTTGGTAAAAATGCGTTAACTGTATAAAAAATAGCATAGTAGGATGGTATCGATTTAAAATGGAACTTAGCGTGTTATATGTTGGAATGTTATGGTTGGTGTAATGAGAGATCTCTTTTCTTTTCTGTTTGATTGTGTGCTTGCCCAAGAATGGAGTTTTGTTTCAACAACTCAGAAAGCCTTGTCTCATCTACTTGGGTTTTGTTATATGACTTATGTTTTACCATTCTGCTCTATGGAGGACATAATTTAATTAAACCGCACATTATCATATCATCCTTAACTATCTCAAATTAGGATCTAAGATGATTGTCAACACTATTGGAAGTTGGAATTAATGTTAATACATTATAGGGGGCCACTTGGTCATAGCAAGCCTTGAATGTGAGCAAATCAATGTTTGGAGTAGGAAAGAGTTGGATAAGATGAATTCGTGAACTCAAAATTATAATTTGCTGCCGATTTGAGAAAGCCGATTCAGAAATTTGGCAGCATCCGCACTCAAACCATGTAAGATGATTGTCAGAACTCTGAGAATTTGGGATTGATGGAAAATTTTGATAGGAGGAAGCTGAATAAGATGAATTTACAAATTTGAATTGGTGGATTCTAGAAAGCTGATTCAGAAGATTGCAGCCACATTTACGCACAAACCCCTGGTTAACTCTCTGAGCACCATAGAGGCACTGCTTTGTGGCAAATCGTGTGACACAGGTGAAGGATGACTCTGGAGAAACTAGTTACACTGGTATTGTCATCTACTTGTGTCATGATGAGTGATTATAGTTTCAATACAGCTGCCGTGGCAGTGTTAATCACTAATTCACCATTGCAATGTAGTTTTGGTGTTCTAGTGATTATTTTACCAAAATTATTATTGATAGAGTTGATAAGATATCATATCTTATTTCCAGCTTCTGTAAGTTTAACACAACCACCAACGGGTCTATGGTCTGCTTGTGCCCAATTTGAAGAAATGATTAAAGTTGAATCCATCAGTTGCTGGTGAGAAGTAATGAGACCTGAGCTTATTGAATCATAAACTCCCATTAGTGGTCAGTGGTGGTCCAAACAATTTAATGTTTTTACTACGCATCATTATTGTAATAATTTTTTTTTAAAGAAACAGAGGATAAGATTTCAAGCAGAGATATCATCTTTCTGTAGAGCCTTTTTTGGATTTTGTAAAGATTGGATTCTTTTCTGTATCCTTAGGCTTATAAAGTTTGTTTTATATACACAGTGTACATGAGTTGCATTCTGTATGTTGTCTTCTATGAATACGCATTCTGTATGTCGTCTTCTATGAATACTTTGCTATAGAATAATGGTTAATTGATAGTATATATGTCTGTATATTTGCATGTATGTAAGTTTTTTGAAAGCTTGTTAGTTCTGCATTAGTGCATTGAATTTGTCTTTGCAGTTTCCTCTTCAAGGATGTAATTGATTAACTTATTAGTCATATATACATATATATATTTTATTTGTCACCGTAAAAGTGTTGATTGTATTGTGCATCCTTCGGTAAGCCTCCTTACCAATGTGATTTATATGTTTTACGTGCTTTTGATTCTGACTTATTATTTATCTGTTTTGCAGTCCACAAACTTTGGTTCGTGCTTTGAGGTAACTTTAATTTAAATTGCATGCTTAAATTCACCCATAACTGTGGATTAAATTTGATATTGAAGAGACTAAGGCATTGGTTTGGCGATTATTACATAAAAATGTGGACTGAAATACTCTTTACTTTTGAAAATATTGCTAAAATAAAAGGATGACTTGTTATGGCAAACTAATTTCTTGTATTTTTTTGGGGGTATCATTACTTCAACAAAATTTACTTGTATGTATAATATATGATTTTGGGTTCAGTTTGCTCAAGTTTTACCTTATTAATCTTATTTTTCCCCATTTTCCTCATAGGGTTGTTGAAATGCAAGAAATCTTTGATCAGCAACTTGCAGAGGAAGCAGCTGAGGCTGAGGGAGGTGGCACAATTGCATCAATAACAAATCCTCGTAGAACTGCCAAGTATCTACCTTAATCAATTTTATGTATTAGCTCTCTACCAGATGGTTGCTTGTCTTTTCCCATGATATTCATTTTGTGACTCCCGCATCTATTATTGAACTGTGTTGTACTTGCTGTTCAACAATCCATCCAAAGTTGGTGACTGTTTTCTTATTGCTTGCAGGAAGTCTACCACTAGTACAGCTTCTTCTAGAAATCTTACACAGCAGAAGTTGAAGATTCAGGGAAAAGGCTACAAGGATAAATGCTACGAGCAAATAAGAAAGACAGTTGAAGGACGTTTTAACAAATTGCTATCGGAGGTACATCATTCACAATTTATCTGTCAAGTTAAAATGGAACAGGAAAATTATGAATTTTTCCTTAATGATATCTTTATAACTAATTCATGTATCAGCTAGTCTTTGAGGACCTAAAAGGAGCTCTAGAGGAAGCTCGAAAGGTATGTGCATCTGATCTTAAAAAACTTTGAACATTTTTGTGTTGACTTTTCTCCTGTGAAGGCTTCACGTTGAAAAGATTGTCACGTTTCAATGGTTTTCTTTTCCTTTCATTCATTAATAGCTAAGGTTTGCCTTGTTCTTAAGGGAGTATAGTATTCCTTTTAGGAATTTTCAAATATTTATAGAAGAATAAGATGGAGGTATAGAAAGCTTGAGAAGTTTCACTTTGAAATTTTTTTTTGATAAGTAAAAATATATTAGAAAAACGTTCAAAAGGGGAACGTGTCCCTAATACACAAAAACGAAAACGAAAGAGCAAAACCCAAATCTACGGACCAACAGAGTCCAATAGAACAAAAAAATCATCAATCGAGGAGCAAGTGCTACCTCTAACATAACAGAAAAGAGAGCGAAGAATAAGGGACTTAAGGTTTGCAAAAGACGATTCCTTCCCTTCAAAGTTTCTGGTATTTCTCTCTCTCCAAATACACCACCAAACACAGTGTGGGGTGACCCTCCAAAAATCACGAGCATGACCAGAAACAGGGCAACTTCTCCAAGTGTTAATAAATTGGAAAGAGTGCTTAGGCATTACCCACTGAACGCTAAAAATACTGAATATGAGATTCCAACAATCAGAAGCAACAGGACAATGCATAAGAAGATGGTCCACGGACTCACCATCAACTTTACAGAGACAACACTAGTTAACAATGGTATTACCTCTCTTACGCAGATTATTCAATGTTAGAATTTTTCCCCAGGTAGCAGTCCAAACAAAGAAGGTAACTCTAATAGGAGCTTTAGAGCGCCAAATACACTTCCATGGGAAATTATGCCCAATAAAATTGGACAAACACAAGAACATGGATCGAACTTCGTATCTACCATGAAGAGAGGGGGTCCACAAAATATCATCACAACCTCTGCCAACATCCTTCTGTCTATACAATAGGTCCAAAAAGACGCAAACTTCTGCTATCTCCCAATCCTGAAAAGAATGCCTAAAACGCACATCCCACGTAACTCCACTGTTATCAAGATGATAAAAGTCAATTATATAAGCATGCTTATTCTCGGCAATGCTAAAGAGATGAGGAAAGGAAAGAGACAACAACTGATCACCACACCATAAATCTTCCCAAAATCTAACATTCATACCATTACAAACCTTGAACCGAATATGGGTGGAAAACACATCCCAACCTTTCCGAATGAACTTCCAAACGCCAACGCCCCCAGTAATAGAAACAGGACGAGAAGACCAACCTCCACTCTCCTCCCCAAAACGACACGAGATAACTCTTCTCCATTGTCGATGACGCTCTTTACCGAACCTCCATAACCACTTCCCTAATAAGGCTCTATTAAAAGAGACCAACTTCCGGATACCTAACCCGCCAAACTTTAACGGTTTGCAAACCTGCTCTTAATTAACAAGATGATACTTAAACTCCTCTCCTTTTCCACCCCAAATAAAATCTCTCTGAATTTTTTCAATTCGTTCAGTAACAGAGCACGGGATTTGAAACAGAGATAAGAAATATGTGGGAAGGGACGAGAGGGTGCTCTTAATAAGAGTGACCTCCCCCCTTTCGAAAGATACTGTTTTTTCCATCCCGCTAATCTTTTTTCATACCTGTTAATCACTGGATCCCAAGTCCCCACTCTAATGGAGGAGATTCCCAAGGGTAATCCTAGATAAGGGAGTGGAAAAGCACCTACTCCACACCCAAGAACAGTAGCTAAAGAGGAAATATCGGAAACCTCCCCCACTGGGACAAGCACACTCTTTCCAACATTAATCTTAAGACCAGACACTGCTTAGAAGCATGTAAGAATGCACCTCAAATACCTGAGTTCGGAAACATCAGCATCACAGAAAACCAAAGTATCATTTGCAAACAACAAATGGGATATCTCAATCTGATTAACAACATCTCTCTTATGTACCCCAAATCCTCTGCCTTTTTCATTAATCTACTTGATCCTTCCATGACCATAAGGAAAAGGAAGGACGACAAAGGATCTCCTTGTCTCAAACCACGCGAACTCGGGAAAAAACCAGCAGGAGAGTAGTTCACAAGCACAGAGAACATAACTGATGAAATGCAAGATTCAATCCATTTTATCCATCGATCCCCAAACCCCATTCTCCGAAGCAAGTGAAGAAGAAATTTCCAATTCACGTGATCATAAGCTTTCTCGATGTCAAGTTTGCATAAAACACTAGGAACTTCACTTTTCAACCTGGAATCGACACATTCTCCTGCGATAAGAACGGATTCTAAAATCTGTCTACCACCAACAAAAGCATTTTGTAACTCTAAGATAATTCCATCCAAAACATTTCGCATTCTAAGAACAAGGACCTTGGCAATAAGCTTATACATGCACCCCACTAGACTAATTCGCCGGAAGTCCTTAATGTCAGAGGCGTTACCCTTCTTAGGAATAAGAGCAATGAAAGATGCATTTAATGATTTCTCAAATGTGCCATGAGAATGAAATTCCTGAAAAGTGCCCATTACCTCATTACGCACCACCTCCCAGCTCTCCTTCAGAAACTGCATAGTGAATCCGTTTGCCCCTGGAGCTTTATCACCATTACAACTGGATAACGCCTTGCGAACTTCCTCTTCAGAGAATGGAACCTCAAGCATATCACTATCCAGCGTAGAAATAGCATCAAAATGCAAACCATTAAGTTTTGGTCTCCACTCCAAAGTCTCGTTATAGAGCTGTTGATAAAAAGAAACAATACCCCCACACACCTTATCTTCTTTCCGCAGCTCTAAACCATTCACACGAATACGCCCAATGTTATTGTATCTTCTATAAGCGTTAGCAAGCTTGTGAAAAAATTTAGTATTGCGGTCACCTTCTTTAAGCCACAAAGCCCGAGATTTCTGACGCCACAAAATCTCCTCCATAGTAGCAATCTCAGCAAAAGTTGCCTGACAAGACACTCTTCAAGAGCGAAGAGATTCCGTGACTTGCCCTGTCTCATCAAGACGATCAATCTCAGCAATTTCAGCCAGGACTCTATTTTTCTTCCATTCAAGATTCCCAAACACTTCTTTGTTCCATTTCTTAAGCTCAAATTTGAGAATCTGAAACTTCTTAGCAAGCACATAACTAGTAGAGCCAGTAAACACTGGTTTCTCCCACCAGGACCGGACCTTCCCTTGGAAGTCTTCAGCTCTCAACCACATATTTTCGAAACGAAATGGAGTCCGTCTAGATCTCAGACCTCCATAATCAAGAACTAAGAGCACATGATCAGACGTGACTCTAACCAAAGCTGCCTGAGCGACATCCGGGAACTTCTCCTCCCAATCTCTAGAAATCAGGAATCTGTCGAGCCTCGATAAAGTAACTGATTCTCTGCCGCTAGACCAAGTGAAAGTTGCCCCTTCCAAAGGCAAATCAATAAGAAGGTGACCATCAATAAAATCAGAGAACTGGGTCATCTCTGAAGACCACCTCCCCCCTGTGGATCTCTCAAATGGAGACTGAACATAATTGAAATCCTCGCCTAAGCACCAAGGCAACGACCACAATTCCTTAATGTAACTAAGTTCCTGCCAAAAAACAGGTCTATCACAATCAATAACGGGTCCATAAACTCCAGAAAAACTGAAATTATCATCTTCCATCTGAAACACACATGACAAAGAAAAAAGCCCTTTCCAGATATTCATTCTGGACATCCATCTACGATCCCACATAATAAGAATGCCACCTGATGTACCAGAGGCGTTCAAGGCTTCCCAATCCACGAACCTACTTCCCCGAAGGCTTCTAACCACATCACCAGAAATAGAAGCCAACTTGGTTTTTTGCAAACAAATAACATGGGCATTCCACTTCTTCAAAGCAACTTTAACCACCTTTTTTTTGTCCGGATCATTTAATCCACGGACGTTCTATGTAATAATTCGTATCTTCATTGAGAACCAAAAATGATCAGTGCCCCTCCTCCCTGCTTCCCACTTTTAGTCCTTCCCCTTTCTTTATTCACCCCATTCTTCGCTTTGTAATTTACATTAAAAATAAGGTTCTTAACCTCCTGATCACCTTTCCGATGTGCATGTTTCTTATATTTAACAACTTTTGTGCTTTTAGAGGTATCTGTATTATTGTTTCCTGCCACAATATCATGAAGAATGGTTTGTGTTTGATCATCATCTCCTTCCGAGGAGACACCCAAAGCTTCGCTGACCTCGCCAATATTATCCAATACCTAGTCCATACCCAAATCGTTAACCATCTCTAAGCAATCAGGGTGTACAGTTGCTAAGGGTTCCATAATGTCCACATCAGATTGATCAATATCCAAGGCAAGAGGACAGATCTGTTGAGACTGATCTTCAAAGTCCTCCCCTTTGCTTTCAACACTATTCTGATACAAGTTTAATTGCAGATTCAACTCTGTTCCAGGGTCATCCGTAAAATTTGTCATCAAATCATGGGTAGAGTTTGTCCTAGTCACGGAGGGTAGACCATTTAAGCCTTCTAGAGCAACACAGAGCTTAAGTTCATTAAGTAAAGACACGGCTAAATCATCTGTTAGCTTAAAATGAAGGTCTCGTCCAACACAAACTGTAACCCCGTTGGAACAATCAATACTTTCGGACTTGGTCAATGAGGACGATGATTCTGCATCCCGTGGAACAATGGCTTCAGAAAGATCTCTCCTTTGATCCAAACGATCCTCCACTCCACCTTCACCTTTTCCCATCACCTCACACGAAGAAGGGGTAGAAGATGAGCTCTTAGGATGAGATACAGAGATCGAACCTGGAGAAGGAGAAGGAGAAGGAGAGCGTGCTACCCATTTCTATTTTTCAGTACGAGTCCATCGGGTACCCTGTCGACTAGCTGAGGCAACCGGCCGATTCCACTTTTCTTTCTCAGTCCGACGTTGAAATGAAGAAGAGGAGAGATTTTGATAATGGGTTTGAGTGTGAACATGGGCTTTCCTTGGATCTGATTCGTTAAGAACTGACACAAAAAATGAGTTGGGTCCTCTAAGAACTCGTTTTTTAGTGTGGGCTGGCTTAGGCCCAAAATCAGGCTTGAACCTTAACGCTTTAGTTTGACCATAACCCCTCTGGCCCAAATCAACTTTAGGCCAATCTGTACGGCCCAGCCCAGCTTCCTCACCAACCCTTGTAGATAAGGATAGGGTCGAATCTGGATTTGAGGCTCTATAAGCGCCACGTGTTAATTTATCCGTGTCAACTATGACGCGCGTGACCGGCGCGTGTCGTTTGCTTGATCTTCCTCGCACCCATTCTTTCTCCGGTATATGATGAGGCCCGTCGCCGCCTTCAATACTCTCTGTCGAGGGAACCAACGCCGGCGCAATTTCTTCTCAGATCGCCACCTTATAATAGAAAGTATCATCATTAATAAACACAAATTGCGGATAGGTCGATCCTATTCTCACTGTAATCTGAACACTTTTGGCATCCCTTGTTTCATCAGCAACAGCTCCCACAAATCCGCCACACAACTGCCCTACTTCAACAAATAAATTGTGACACCATAGATGAAGGGGAAGTCCAAACAGCCGGATCTGTTTGAGACCTTTTTCTCTAAGGACGCCGCAACAACCAACCCTAAAAGACCATACATCAATCCGCAGGGTTGCAGATCCCCATTGACGCCGGCCTTCCTTCAACACACGTTGGGCTTCGGCCTGAGAAGGAAACCTGAAAAGGAGCAGTGAATCAGGTAATGGAGTAACCCCCACTCCACAGGACATATTGCATGCTCTCGCAGCCCATTCCTCCACACAATCACAGCCCCCAACTTCCTTGTCAAAACGCCCGACCAAGCAAGATGAGAGAACTGATTTCCTCCCTGCGACGGACTCCCCGTCGATATACAAAGACGGTCTTCGATGTGGAACTGCCGACTTCACATCCCCAATTGTTGAAATTCTTGGAATCCTTGCAATCTCGAAATAAGATTTTATCACGAACGAAAACAAAAAAAGAAAAGAAAGAAAAGGACAAAGTCACCATCGCCTTGAAATCGCCCCTAGTGGGGTGAAATCGCCCACAGTGACGTCATATATTATTATTATTATTCTCTTATCCTTTCACTTTGAAATTGAAATGTGATGCCTTCAAAAAGGGTTTTGCATCTCTAAAAAAGGGAAAGTTAGCAGAGTATAGTAAAATATAATAGTCATACTAGTATCTAAAAGATGGTAGATTTCCTTTCACACAGTTTTGATTCAGATATATGTTTTGACTGAAATAAACAATGAAAACAGTTCTTAAACGATGAAAGGGACTCTTAAAGTAAGCCCCACAAATGTTTGAATTGTGTCAATGTGACACAATGGAAAAAGAGTACCTTCTGAAATCAAAGTTTGCCTTGTTTATTTGTCAAGGTCAAATTGTGGAATTTTCTTTTTGATTGGTAAAGAAGTTTTGTTTTTTTTGTTTTTTTTTTTTTTCCTTTTTCATAAGCTCGATTGGTAAAGTTTCACTATAGAGAGTCAAGGGGCCAATTCATGTACACACGAATTACACATATATTAACCTGTAGAAAGTATATCCACATCTTACCAAACTTTGCAAAAAATGATTGACAAAAGGTCTCCCCGATATCATAAATACAGAGAACATAAACTAAGAACTTAAGATTCAAAATTAAATATTGAAGGGACTCTCTATTCATTACCATATAAACACACAACCGTAGCCCTACGGGTGCCGACTACCTCACATGGCGAAGCTTTCTGCAGACTCTAGCCCCCTTCCCCATTTCGACTAGTCAGCACCACAGCAAAGGAACTAGGAAAAACCCAATAAATACCAAATAGGGGTACCAGAAGATCCAACAACACCCTCACGACCAAAAGGTGAACCAAGAAATGGTTTGCCATCTGTTCATCACTCTTGCCTTGAAATATTTTGTTGTTAGACGAGTGTGGAGAACAATCTCTTAAAACTTTGTACCATAATCAATGTTGAATGGCTTTTAAAAGGATCTTTGGAGGGTGATTTCTAATCTCTTTTTATGGCTAAACGTTGATGGAGATATTTGAGATTTTAATAAGGCAAGGAAAGTAAATTTTGGGTGCTGTTTTGGGAGCTGTGAATAGTACCCGTGAACTGTAACATGGCTAGGCTTTCTGATTCTTGAGTTGCTGGGTTTAATCTTTTAATGGAGGGAAGGATTCAGCTCACCTAAGTAGAATTTCTTTGGCTAGTATGACTGTAAATATAGAAATGCAGATTGTTAAATGAAGAGAAGAAGGATAGCAGCAGCAGCTTGCTATCACATCAAGCATTTTATAACCCTCATTGTGCCTAAACCATGGTCATATTGCATCTGATGTGCCACCACACTTACCCAGCTAATACTAATTGCCACATTGAGTCATGTCTAGTTGATAGAGAACAGTGGCAGCAGCCTTTTAAGGTATATAAAAGGCGTGGCAAGGAGGGTTCTAAGGCTTGAACCTTAATTTGGCACATGCTAGACGATGGGTCCACTTGGAGTCTTGCATAATTAGGGGGATTTGGTCAAATTGCATAATTATGGTAGCTTCCACTTGGAGTCTTGCATAATTAGGGGGATTTGGTCAAATTGCATAATTATGGTAGCTTGCATCAATTTCGATCAAATTACATCCGTCCATAGTAATTACTTTTATTATGCTAGAGTCAAATATTGATTACCTCAATTACGGGGTGATTACTTTTATTATGCTATAGAGTCAACTTTTGATTACCTCAATCATGGGGTAATCTGAGGGTCATAAGTTGCTATAAGAAGGGTATGATGTAAACTTGCTGAGGCAGTCAAGGAATGAATAAAAATATCTTTGAGATTTCTTTGTGAGTGATTCACAATTTTTGAGGGTGTGAGGCCTTCTCTAGGTGTGATACCTGGACCTGTTGGTGTGATTCCAGTAGGTTTTTGTTGTTTTCAATCCTTTCTCTCTACTAATATTTTGAACCATAGCTCTGTTTATTTTAATTAACAACCACTTCTTCTTTGGTTTTCTACATTTCTACTATCAAACCTCCAAATTTCTGCCCTAGTTCTTGAACTTTCAGACTCTGAATTCTTTGAGTTCTTAGCTATTAAAGGCTGCTCTCTTGTCCTACATCACTAGTCTTGTACTTAGCCCTAATTGCTTCCCTATTATGTCATTTTAGACTTGCATGGACCCCCTTGTCAGGTGTCAATAACTATGTGGTGTTTCAGACCCCCTTTTACACTATGGTCTTTACCTATAAATAGCCATACTTCATCACTATATCAAGGCCATGAATCCACATTTAGCGGGGATATCAATCCAAGCCATTTATAATTAAAGCACTCAATATTTCTTGAAAGCCTCTCAACCATTACCTCACCATATTTTGTACACCTGGTAACTTGAGGGGCTATACACATTGCCATCTCTCTTCTCTCCCTTTTGAGTTTACGCGGCTTCCCGCCTAGGCCTATCTCTCTGGATCCTTTGTCATTTTTTCAGGCTCCATCATCCACATCAGCACTAAGAACCAATAATATTCATATTTTGTTCTAATTTTATGCAAATTTCAAATGATATGGCTTGAGTCTTTTGTCTACTGAAATATTCATGGTATATACAAAACTCTATAAGTGTCAAATGTTGATACTAAATTCCTTAATTTTAATTTTATTTTTTCGATAAAAGCCTCATCTTTTGTTCATGGTAACCTTCAGTTCGCTTAATTGACTTTCAGATTGGAGAAGAGCTTGGAGATATATACGATTTTGTGGCTCCTTGTTTTCCTCCAAGGTTTGTCCTGCTGTCTTCAATATATTTATACTTGTGTTATCTGGTTTTGTGTAAAGCTTTTGGTGAAATATCAAATTTGCAGTTCAATGTTAGAATGATTTTGTTGCTTTCCAAATTCAATTTACTTTCTGAATCCACTGCTGCATATCAATTTTTTTTACGTTAAATTGCTTAACTTTGCATCTTGCCTGTGCACCCTAGGAACTAGTTACTTTTGAGTGAAAACACAATTCGGGATGACTGGAAATTAAAGATGCTAAAATACTGGTAGTGATGACTATATCTGAAAACTTAGCTTCTATATTAGTTGCATTGCTTAAATAGGGGACGAATCATTTGAGTCTGTAGCCTCCAAAATTAAATGGATTTTATAGGTGTTGGGAAGCATAAAGATTGATCAACGTCCAGACTCCAGGCTCCAGAGTGCGATGCATCAAGATGTCAAAACGTAGACAGTGATCCCGATCACAGTACTAAATATTTCAACTGGCCCTTCTTATTCCTGTCTAGTTCATGAAAACACTTCTGTAAACAAACAAATCCTCCAGACATTTTTTGTTTTGTTCCCATTGTGGTAGAATTTTACATGGTTTGTGCGGTATACAAGCTGCTGAAATAAACCAGTTGGGTACCAATATAACTTAACTCATTAGTCTGCATGTATGATGACTATCATGTATCTTATAAGATACTGTTAAAATGGGATATTTCTATATGTAACTATTTTCTTTTAAAATGTATTGAATTGTTTATGTCAAGATACTGACAACAAGAGATTTGTGCATGTTTATGTATCTGTGAATGCGTACTGCAGCTGAAGTTGGGGCATGTAATGTATAAATGTCCTTTTTAATGTATATGTTTTTGTCTTTTTGTCTTCCTCTTTTTTTAGTTTGATCTCCTGTCTGTTTAATTGTTGGTGCAATGACATGGCTGCACATCAAAGGGTGACTGTAAAAACTGTACAAATATACTTAGAATGCCATGTTAATGTTCTTACGTAGTGCTGGTAAGGTCATGAATTCCCATAGTGATAATCCGGATAGCTCAATTTTAGTTGCTGCTTCTCATATATCCGTGCATGTATTCACATGTGCTTGTTGATATAGTTGAACTTATGGGTATTTACTATTTAATATGTGAAGATTTTTTTGATGAATATTTTTTGCTCTTATTTATTTATTTATTTTATTGTATTTGTTGTTCTTGCTTGCAGATACGAAATATTCCAGCTCATGGTAAATCTTTATACTGAGAGGTTTATTCAATGGCTGAGATTGCTCAGTGACCGGGCAAATGATCTAACAAATATAGAGATTTTAAAGGTATTTCATTTGGACTTTAGATAATTTCAGTCTTGAAAAGGGTTTCATTTGGATTTTAGATCATTTCTGTCTTGAAACCATTGTTGCTATGATAAGGGTTTCACACAGGGATTTTTCTTTTTCCCTTTCTTTTCTCTCTACCAGTCTTGAAACCTTGACCTAGGGCTTGAGAGTTAAAACCCAAAGCCTATGGGACAAAGGTGGACCAGTCTCATAAAAGGGATTTTCCTCACTCTGGTGCTTTATTTTGGAATACAATCCTTTAATCTTACTTATCAAACTGTTCTCTTCTTTTCTTTCCACCCCACAACACCCCCCCCCCCCCCCCCCCCCCCCCGGGTTTTTGGGTGTTGGGGTTCCCTACTGAACTCAACAAAGTGTTTTTCTCAACTACTTAGGATCGGTTACACAAACCCTAGTTTTCCATTCCGCACTATATAATGCCATAGCCTCAATCAAACCACATGTTAACATATCCTTTCTTACTAATTCTAGCCACATTACTTTGGGTCTTTCCCTTCCCCTAGCATTACCCTCTATGTGGACTATGTACTCTTCCTAATTGGGGATTGTTTTTCCTGTTAATAAAATTAAAAAATTTACTTGCATTTTAGGCTACATGGCAATTACATGACTATTTGCCATGTCTTGATGTGTACTGCACAGCCCGTCACATTTTGAGTCTTATGAAATATCCAAATCCTGGTTGGAAGATGCAGTATCCTTGTTGCAAACACCAACTCTTATGCTCTACCTGTCAATTTTGATTTGCATAGCACCAAAGAACAAACATCGTATCTGACTACCAAGATATAACAGTATTCGTGGTACTTTAGTTGAAAAGCAATTAAAGTAAAATTAATTGTGGAATAAAAACTAATTTTAGTATTTCATTTGAATAGCAATTTCTTTTAACTTGTATATGGTTTTTCCATTTCACTATGTGTTCATGGTGTCTTTTGTTTCCTCTTCCATAAAAATTATTTAATCTTTCCTCGTAAATGTTGTTGATGTTCTTTTCCAGTTGTAATCTTTTGTTAATTCATCTATCTTGTTGCAATCAGGTAACTGGTTGGGTTGTTGAATACCAAGATAATCTGATTGGGCTTGGTGTTGACGAGTCTTTGGCTCAAGTTTGTTCTGAGAGTGGTGCAATGGATCCCCTTATGAACTCTTATGTAGAAAGAATGCAAGCCACTACAAGGGTAACTATATGTTATCGAATGGATTCATTAGTTTATTATTTATTTTATAATATTGTTCAGATGTCCTCTCTTTCTCATTTTACTATTTCCTTCTGCTCTTATTTTGTTATCAGAAATGGTACTTGAATATCCTTGAGGCTGATAAAGTACAGCCACCAAAGAAAACAGAAGATGGAAAGCTATATACGCCAGCTGCTGTTGATTTATTTAGGATCCTTGGAGAGCAAGTGCAAATTGTTCGAGAGAATAGCACTGATGTCATGTTATACAGAATCGCTTTGGCTATTATTCAGGCAAGTGTAGCTTCACAGATTTTGTAATATTAGAAAATGGAAGCCATCCGCTACCTATTTTAAGGGGGCGGTGGTGCTATTTGGCCCTTTTTTCATAGTTCATTGCATTTATCACTTCTTGGCTCATCATTGAAAATGATGTTCCCAGACTGCTTGACGCGGACCTAATTTAAATGTCCAGTCTTTTCATCCTTGACCACGTAGAAGACGAGAGTTCAATTGTGTTTTGAACTTTGATTATTTTGTCATGTCAATTATGTCTAAATTTTACATTTTTTGTAGTCACATCAATTTACCTATTGTCCTCTCCTCTATTTTCAAACTAAGTGTTTTGATTTTAGGTCTTTGTTGATTTGTTAATATCCTCTCCTTTTTTTCTTCCCCACCCCCAGAAAAAAAAAAAAAAAAAAAAATCCTTGCAATATTATTTATCTACAGGCCTAGTCATATGATTATTATACTAAGAACCTATTTAAATTTTAAACTTCCTTTCTTTCAATTACTTCTCATGGAATGATTGTTCTTTTCAACCAAGCTTTCCACCAATTTATGCTCGACCTTCTTCATATAAGAACTGTCTGATTTCCATAATGTCTTTGTCTAATCCTCTTTGAATATGAAATAGCATACTTGGGTTCAATTTCTCTTACACTCGAAGTAGTGATTTCAAAACCTGGGGATTTCTCACTTTCCTATAAAAGATTGTATGGTCTTGATGGGGTAAGGATCAGAACCCCAAGCTCTGATAGAGAGTAAGATTCGTGATCTAGACCTACAGGGAGGGGTGTAAAATAGGTCTTGATGGCAGCTTTAATAAATTTTAACTACTTTTTGAATTTTTAACCAACTTGCTGAAAATTCAAATGTAAACTAACACTAAATATTAAATATCAATCCATCCATCATGTCAATTAAAAGTAAATTAAGGTGATGTAAAACATGAACAATGGACACTAAGATTATATGTGAAAAATTCAAACGGGAAAATTCACGGGAACAATATCAATCCAGCCATCATGCTAATCATAACAATGTCAATTAAAAGCAAATTAAGGTGATGTAAAACATGAACAATGGACACTAAGATTATATGTGAAAAATTCAAACGGGAAAATTCACGGGAACAATGTCAATCCATCCATCATGCTAATCATAACAATGTCAATTAAAAGTAAATTAAGGTGATGTAAAACATGAACAATGGACACTAAGATTATATATGAAAAATTCAAACGGGAAAATTCACGGGACCTAGTCCAGTTAGATCAAATGTCTACTGTCACAATGAGATAGTACACTAGGTTAAAGTTCACATACCTCAGAACCCTTAGTTATCTCTTGATATAGACTGGTCCACCAAACACCCCACTTGAATCTCGAGGCACACAGTCCGCTACTTCGCTCCTCACGAATCTGCTTCTCAATAGCAATTCCAATATCTACACTAGTCATCCACTCCAATCTTGATTGACTGATTGTTTTTTGGTGTTGAACTCTTCAATACAGCTCTGCAAAAGTTAAGATGTCAACACTCATATGTGACACCCACCATTCTTATGCAATGTGATTGATGAATGCTAAAAGAAATATATATACATATACATTGCAGAAAATTTCTCTAGCTTTTGTGTCTATCTGTATGTCTATGTTTCTGATGTAATAGGGTATTGGTAATAGACAAAACAAAGTTGTAGAGAGGACATGGTTTTAGTGTTTCAAAACTGAAAGGAAACTGTTGTTCCGGACATCTTGACCGATCGGAATTAATGTCGATCGATCAACATGCAGCCATCAGCCTTTGGTTGATAGGTCGATCAATCGAAGTGCTTTTGCACTTTTCTTCGAAATTTTTTAGATTTAGCAAGTTTATGGAAAACACTTGTATGCAATTCAATTAGGTTATTTCAAAATCAAAACATGTAATCATGAAACTCTAATATATGAATGTATGAAACCTAATTTTTTGAGTGTATATGGTAGGGTCATTTTACCTTTGTACCCTTATGTCAAAGATTACGATTCTGTCCTTAGTTTAAACTTGCATCCCATCTTTGATCATGACCAAGTGGTAACTAATTTTAATATTCAAGCTAAACTAAAAATAAAACAAAATTACAGTCTATTTTTTATCCACGAAATATGCCAGCATAAGTCCTATTGACCTAACAGTTCTATTTTCATTGAAAAAGAAATACAAAATTACAATTTTATATTTCGGAAGTTCAAAATTTTAGAATGGTGCTTTACTTTCTTTGTTTAGAACTGTAACTTGCATGATAAATGAACCACAAAATTCCAAAGTACTTCTCCAGAACTTCAGAATCTTGAATCATGAATAGGAAGATAATTTTAGTTGTGGTCACTTTTTGCTCCATCTGTGGTGGCTACACTTATGCACCATGATAGTACTGAATATTTGGACCAGTGTTCCTTCCAACCCCCCCTTCCAAAAACCAACCCCCCCCCCCCCCCCCCCCCCCCTCCCAAGTCCTCTTTATAATTGTGTATGTGACTGGGTCACCTGAATGACGTTGACATTGCTTGAACTCATTTATCTCTTGATAGCTGTGTCATGATGTCATTTATCAGTGTTTAGAAATGCTCTAATTTTATTTGTGATAATTTATCTTCACTAGCTCTAGGAAACATATTTGTGGTTTTAGATCCAGTTCTAAATAGCTTTGACTGGATCTCTGTATGCAATGTATTTCCTCAGGTAATGATTGATTTTCAAGCAGCTGAAAGGCAGAGAATGGAAGAGCCTGCTTCTGAGATTGGTCTAGAATCTTTATGTGCTATGGTCTGTGAATTTTGTTGATGGGTAGCTTGTATTTACATCTAATGTCTTTCGTGGAAAGCATTGTATATCGAATTAACATTCCATGATGACAGATAAACAACAACCTGCGCTGCTACGATCTTGCGATGGAGCTAAGTAACAGCACCATAGAAGCCCTGCCACACAGTTACGCTGAGCAGGTTATACAATCATTCTGTGTTGTTTTTTTTTTTTTTTTTTTTCACACTTTTTAAAATTAATTCTGAGCTGCTGTGATCTTACATGCTCAGTGATGCAGTCTTATTTTATGAGCTTTAGATTTCTTATGATTTTCATGTTACACTGATGCAATCCTATTGGACTTCAAACACCTAATTTTCTTGTGACGAAACCACGAAACTATTATCATAAAAAGACTTTGAACTTGGTTGAGTTGTGTAGCAAAAGTATTATCTACATGAGGCCCCCCAAGAAGGAGGTTTGGGTTTAAAGACCCAACGAAGCTTCTTAGAAAAGAAGTGATCGTGTTGTTCTTGAAAGAACAGCGACCCCCCCTCCCCGGCCGCCGCTCCCCCCCCCCCCCCCCGGGTGGGCGTTCTATGGAAATAGTAAATGCGAAATCATGAGTTTTGCTTGCCCATTTTTTCAATTTTTGGAATGGAGCTTTTCTAGAAGGTTTAGTTGTTCCTACTATGGATAATTAGATTGCACATATGATCCTTATAGAACTTCTATTAGTATTTTGGATCTCCCATTGTAATTGTGTTACTCCATTTGTTAATTATCTAGTTATGTGTACTATTCCAACTTTGGAATGTGTCCAAATTAGAGAGTGACAGTCATTAACGGTGTGAAAATTTGGAACTGCAGCATTCGCGTAGTGGTGAAACTATATCTGTCATGACCAAATTCCCGCACAACAGAAATAATGGTGTGAGAATTGTCATCTTTGACGCATCATTTAATGAAAGTGTAGTTTTTATAGAACATTAAGCTTACAAAATCTCTTTTATATACATAATACAGATAGATTCTCTTTAGGTTTTCAGCAGCAATTTATTCTCTTTATTATTATTTATAAGTAAAATTAAAATTGTATAAAAAGCCCTCAAAAGGGTGGTTGATTTTTTGGGCTCCCTGAATGTCTAGAGGCCCTATTTGGCCTTGTGTAGTTCTCTTGGGATGCACTCCCCTTTTGAGTGCTTTTATGCAATTTTATTTATCAAAAAAAAAAAAACCCACAAAAGGGGAATGCGTCCCAAGAGAAATACACAAGGCCAAATAGGGCCTCTACACTCTCAAGGAGTCCAAAAAATCTACAATCTCCTCTAAAGATCTATAATTTCTCCCTTTAACCAACAAAAAAGATTGGTAATAATGGAGAACTTAGGCACGGAGATAGAAGCTTCCTTTTCTTCAAAGGATCTCCTGTTTCTTTCAAGCCAAAGACACCATTAGACGCACAAAGGCGTAACCCTCCAAAATCATATACTAATCCTAGATTCTCGTCAACTTCCAATTTCTTCATGTTTTGCTTTTTTAGGCTCGATTTTCCTCTGATCTTTGTGCATCTATATAATAGCAGGTATGGACATCTAATGCCCAGTAGGAAAGCCGTAATCTAAACCTATTCATTTAAGAAATCATTAAACTAACATTTTACTTTACTCCCAGTACAGAAGACAAGCCCCTTGCTAAACTCCCTTCTTCACAGAACTATCACTGCATTCCTAGTAACTCTTCTCATTCTCTACACATCTTTCACAGAGCTACCAAAGCATTATTCACTTTCTCTCATTACTTAGATCTTTATTCTCTATATACCCCTACCTTATCCTGGGCACCACCTCATTCTTAATCAAAACATTTTCAATTCTAACACATCCTCATCATCCAGTTACATAACCAGATCAATTCTCCATTTACTCTCTAAACCTTGAGATTCTCTTTCTTCCCAGTCTAGGTCATTCTCAACTTTTTTAACCCATCTATATCACTATTTTAATCACCATCATGACTCTCGATCCCAAATATACCACATCATTCCCACTTCTCGTCTCCCTCTTCAGTAGTAACCTTTTTCCCATTCATGACCCTAGCCACTTATCCTTCTCAATACCACAACACGTGCAGCTAGACTTTTCATCAGAGACCTCAAAACACTTATACTAACTGAGACCCAAAGTCCCAACCCTTTCCACGATCATTACACTGGGCTAGAATCCCATCACAACCCAAGTCAAAATGTCATGATATATAGGATTAGTACCCGGTCATTATTCTACTCACAATTTCTTAACACATCTGATTAGACCCCTGGTCACAACCCAGACAACATGTCACAATAGAACAACATAAAGGATTAGTCCCCTCATTGCAACCCTACTCACAACATCTCGACATGTTTGGTCAGGCCCCTGGCCACAACCCAGACAATAACACAACGCTAGACAGACCAGTAACTGCACACTTCCAACCAACTCCTGACACATCACACCATAGGCATGCCTCAACACAACCCAATTCCATAACTTGTTCCATTAAGTTCATCCTACCTATTGGCCCTCTTCTTCAAATAGTCACCCTATTAGCTTCCATTGAAATGGTTGACATCCTACAAGGGGCTCTATCCTTGGATTTCTATGTCGATGAGGTCACTTCTATCTATCTGCCCTTTCCCTCAAAGCAAACACCCTCGGGACTTCTCTACCTTTTGTGTTCACCTTTGTCTATAGGCCCTCTTCCTCTGAGCAGTCATCCGCTCAAGCTATTCAGTTTGAATAGGTCACTACACCACAATTGGGGCTTCAAAGAAATTTAAAATGATGAAGCAAGTAAGATAGAATTTTGTGTTACACCTGACATAAATAAGGTTCATTGGTGTAAAAAAGGAAATAATCATGTGTGTATATTATCCTCTCTTGTATTCTCAGTCATGGTACTTCTCTCTTGTTTTCTGTCATAATCAAGAGTATTGGAAGACCGAAGACCACGTTACACCCTTGCTCTCCTATATTATTTTCTTATAACCTTTTCAGAAATATATTCACATAGCAAACTGAAATAAATTTCTTCGTTTATATTTGGAAAAGAAACTTTGTTAGTTATCTTGGGGGAGAAAAATCTAAAAGTCAAACTTGCATAAATATCTCAGGTTTTTTTTTTTTTTTTTAGTTGGTACTCACACACACATGCCTCTACTGAGGCTCGAACCCCTGACCTCCCTTTGGGAAATAGGGGCCTGATACCGCTAGGCCACTGGCCTGTTGGTTACATGTCTCAGTTAAATGCTGGATAAGAAGCTTCCATTACCATTTAAGATACATTTAGTAGCCTATTTGTGGAATGAGCCCTAATGATGGTATGCACCATACTCTATTCAATTGACCTTTGATCAAACTACATTGGTCTTAGTTTATTTTCTTTAAAACTATTGGAAGTCTTATTTTAGAAGCTAGTTACATAAAAGAAATCTCGGTGCCAAATCTTGCTATTTTCACTGTTTTTTGTTAAGAATAAATTCTATGTATCCATCTGAAGGACATATATGAACCAAAGTTTTATGCTGGTCGGGGTAAGCTTTTCTAATGGTTGTCCATAATCAAGCATCCTGTATGAGCCACAATCACTTTAATTTGGTTTATTGATTTGGAGGATAAGTATCGTTAATTATGGAGTTCGTGCCTTTGCTTCTCTGGTTGTGTTTTTAAAATTGGTTTCTTTATCATCTTCACAGATTAATTTTGAAGACACTTGCAAAGGTTTTTTAGAGGTTGCAAAGGTACGTTGAGATTTCCTTCCCACAACCTTCATATTGTGCGTGGATATGCTGCACGCTGTCTATATGTATAGCTCTATATTTATTCACAAATTTCTACTTGATACCCTTGCTGAAGCTTTAAAACATATAGTTTTATGTGCATGAAGATTAGTGATGGAGCCCAGAATTTATTTCGTGGCCCCGGGGGGGGGGGGGGGGGTGGGGTTCGCAGATAGGATTTTTTCCGACTAATGGTGCAACACATCAAGCTAGAAAATAAGTGCAGTAATCAAGATTCAAACATCTCAGAATTCGAAAAAAAAAAAATGTTGTAAAGAAAATTTAGAAACATAAAATTAAGACAAATAAATGAGAAAAAGAATGAGATTTAAAAAGTTTACTGTACATACATCATAAATGAGTGCAAGAAGAAGAAATTTTAAGAAGAGAAAGAAAACAAAAGAAGTAGAATATAAATAAATAAATAATGAGAGAAATTTGAAGGGGAAAAAAAAAACTAGGTTTTGCTCAATTTGGCTGTTTCTTTGAATGTTTTATTGCATTTAATTGTTTAAAACATTTAGACAATGGGTTGGTTTCTGACTGTTATTGGAAATGTTTACCGAGTTCAATGATATTAGTTCTTGATACTGTGCTTTTGCTCTATGATAATAATGACAATCCAGTTAACCTGAAACTTCAATTCTGTTAAGCACTTAGGTTGCAACTTATGATTTGTGGGACCCTGCCCATGACTAAACTCAGAGATATTTTTGGAACATAACTGTCATTTGTGAGGTGAGCTTTCTGATGCGAGAGATCCTGATTTACAATGCACATACTTTCAGAATATAGTGAGTGGAGTTTGAAGGAGAACCAAACCAAATACTCTCTTTAAAGAACAACAATTTAGAAAGGGACAGGGGAGTCTTCTCCAAAATTAAGTCCGATTAACTATAAGTTATAACTAAAAAATTAGATACCACCCTCTTAAATTTATGGCGCTAGGGCTCCCAACTTTAGATTTTGTGTTTTTGGTTTTCATTGTGCAGAATTTCCTGTTTTATTGCGTTATGATTGTAGGAATGATACACAGATTGCAATTTATCATATGCAGAAAGTGTTATCTCAATCAAAAAAAAAAAAAAAAGTGACAACTTCCTCATTGGAAATGATGAAGTATAGAGAGCGAATCATATAAAGCCTAATGTACACACACACATATATACACACAACAAATCGGTTCGGATTGGACTGGATTTTTTCGCCCTCAATCTATAAACAAACCGATCTGAATGATTTCTGAAAAAATGGAACCGTAACCGAACTGATGACCCCTCAAAAACCTAGCCAAACTAAATGGATTGGATTGGTTAAGAATGAACCGTGGTTTGAACCGGATCCGTGTGCACCCCTAAAAGAAATTTTGGAATTAAAACCATAAGAAGTGTAAGAGTTGCCTTTGAATTATTTTAAATTGATTTGAAAAAGTAGAGAAATATAATTTTTTGTCATTTGCATTCCGTATATGAAATTGAAATCTTCATTTATGATGAGAATATTGTAGACTTGTGCTTAGCCCGTATCTCTATTATAGAGTACAACTCTGTACAAAAATACTAATAGATAACACGATAGAAATAAGGGTAAAGTACAATGACACCCCCTGAGGTTTGGGGTAAGGACAAACATATACAAGTTCGCCTATTTTTGGATAATGACACCCCTTCAAGTTTGAAAAAATTGACAACGAGACCCTGACAATGGTGAATTGACTTTATTACCCTTTGATATAAAATTGATATTTTAATGGACTTAAATACCCTTGGATCAAACCCTAACCCAAACCCCTCTCAAGTACAACCCATCTGAGAACCCTCTCTTTCTCTCTCTGTATGTGTGTGTGTGTATATATATATATATTCACGCATACACACACACACACACACACACGCATATATATACATCACCACCACCACTACATATACTGCAGCTGCCGCCGCATCATCACACCTCAACCGCTACAACCACCACCCCATCGTTAGCATCATCAGCAGTAGCAATATCCTCATATGCGCACATCACCACCCCCAGTTCTCAACCTAGTTCACACTGGCAACCTCTCGACCCAGTTCACACAGGCAAATTAAACGATCATCAACCAAAGAGACCATCAGTTCACGTGAGCCTTTATCATCGTCGGCCAAACATGCAAAGTTTGAAAGACCCAAATTGATGTACTGTTCCGGCAAATTCTAAGCTTAAACCGGAGGGACACGGACGGAACAACGAGGAGATCCTGTATTGTGATTGACAGGAAAGGGATCTAATCGGACGGCGGAGGTGATGGCCTCTTGAATAGAGAGTCGGGTGAGATGGGTCCCGTGGTTAGAGAACTCGGTGATGGAAAGGGCTCTACTCGGACGGCGGAGGCGATGACCACATCTCAAATCCAACGGCAAAGGCAATAAGGTTCAGATGAGCACGCTCCAGCGAGCGTCACTTGCAAGCCCGAGGAGGTGGTGGTGGCGATGGCAGAGCTCCTCTTCGGTTCTTTTTCGGTGCCCATCTTTGATTCGCAATTCTCTTCTTTGTACTCCATTGGTAGATTTAGATTGGTGGTGGTGGTGATGGAGGGGAAGATGGGTGGTGGCGGTGGCATAGCTCTTCAGGCGGGTGATGGTTGTGGTAGTGGTGACTGGTGTGTGGTTGTATATATATATAGAGAGAGAGAGAGAGGGAGAGAGAGAGAGAGAGAGAGAGAGATGAAAAGGGTAATTTGGTCATTTAATTATTTTGATATTTTACAATAAAAATTAATAAAATAGTGCAGGGTAAAGTTGACTTTTCGCATGTTTTAAGGCTCTGTTTGGATTGCAAATCTCACAAGGGGGTGTTATTGTCCAAAAATAAGACAACTTGTATATGTGTGTCCTTACCCCAAACCTCAAGGGGTGTCATTGTACTTTACCCTAGAAATATATATGAAAAAACCATTTTTATCTTTTGTTATACTGTTTCCATTGTTGATTTTGGACAATATGCTACTTTCAACATTTAGTCATGATGCCTGAAGAATTCTAATAGGTGGTCATGTTGTTCTTTTTTTACCCCGGTATACAAGTGGTGGTCATATTGCCTTCTGCATATATTTGTTTTTCTACGAAAGTTAGCATTGTCATAAATGGTACCTGATTTCTTTTTGATGGTAGGAAGCTTTGCATCAAACTGTTAGTGTCATCTTTGAAGATCCAGGAGTTCAGGAATTACTTGTCAAGCTTTACCAAAAAGGTGAACAAATTTTTACTATATGTTTTGCTTGAGGTTCTCGCACTTTATATCATGAATTGATCCCAAGCATTATAAAGAACTTAAAACAGTCAAGTCTTCTTCATGACTTGCAAATTGGCTGCATATTGTGGCTGTTCTGTGCACTTGTGTATAGGCAGTTTTACATTTTAGAACTATTGGTTTTGTAGTTTGTAGGAGCTGTTGATGCACTATTTTCCCAAATATGGCTGTCGTGTGTGTTCAAACACTATTTAGCCTTTTAAATTCTGCATAATATCCTCATATTGAACACTTACTAATATTCCTATTGATTGATAACATATAATTCTTTTAGCTACTATCTCTGTGTGGCATAAATTGCATGTGATGTTCCAAGTGATGAAGATTAAACAGTGTGTAATTGTTTATAAACTGATTATGTTTAAGCCTCGAGGAATTAGTTTAATTTTTTATGATATGATGTCTTATTCTCATTAGAGGCTCTAGAAACTTGTGTACAAGACTTCTACAACTTGTGCTAGTTTATGAAGTTAACTGGTTCACATTGTAAGACATGAGGGATCTGCTAGGCTGTCATATTATATTGTAATTAATTTGTCAGTGATCTTGAACTATTCATTGCAAATATTTTGGTGTATGTAATGTTTGATAATAGTTGTGCTAATTAGGTATGCATCACCAAAAAAGAAAAGGATGAATAACTTTTCTTTATTTTGTCTATTATTTTTGGATGGAATGAACTTTCTATTCTTTTCCTGAAACAATTACGTCAGCCTCTGACTTGGGCTTTTTCTTCTATGCATCTCAGAATGGTGTGAAGGACAGGTTACTGAGTACCTAGTTGCAACATTTGGTGATTATTTTACTGATGTAAAGATGTAAGATTTCCTTCTAATTTCAGTCATTCTCCTATTCTAGAACTTCAGGCTTGCATATGTTCTACACATTAAAATTTTCTTTGTTTCTAATTTACTATGTTTGTGTGCTATGGTGTTCTTTAGTTACATTGAAGAAAGATCGTTTAGGAGATTTGTTGAAGCTTGTCTGGAGGAAACCGTGGTGGTTTATGTTGACCATCTACTCACACAGGTTTAATTAAAGAAAATTATCCATGCTTCCTTTGTTGGATATACTTTTGCATGTATCTCTCTAACATCCATTAACATACTCGTGCATGTAATGGCCTATAATATCTTTTTTCCTCCATGAGGTGAATGTCTTAGTGATGCTCGTGTTTGTAGAAAAATTACATCAAGGAAGAAACTATTGAACGGATGAGGCTAGATGAAGAGGTTCTCTTGGATTTCTTCAGGGAATATATTAGTGTTTCTGTAAGTTATTTTTCATCTTTATCTAACACAATTATAATTGCAGAGCCTTAAATTATATGAATTTTGTAGCATTTGATCTGAGTATTGTCCTTTTCATGGGAAATTTCCTGTCTATAAAATATTTTGTAGCATTTCTAATGCTTCTTAATTTCGAATTTCCATGACATGCTACAGAAAGTTGAAAACAGAGTCAGGACACTAAGTGACTTAAGAGAGCTTGCTTCGGCCGAGAGTCTGGATTCTTTCACACTCATTTACACAAATATCCTTGAACATCAACCTGACTGCCCAGTAAGTGCTATTGAACACTATTGAACACTCTGTGGTGTGGGTAAAATGTTTCTCATTGTCAAACTGTAAATTAGTGTGTTGGCTACTTACTATGTCAATACAATAAAACATCATTTAGTCATCATTTGTGTACTTGTTTTATATCTGTTCTTTTTCCTCTCTTGAGACTGGAAAGGATTGGAATCTCTTGTCCTGAATTTCTCTGCTCAGGATCTCTCTGATCACGAATCTCATTTTTTCCCCCTTTGGATTGTAGGCTGAAGTTGTTGAAAAACTTGTGGGACTGCGAGAAGGCATACCACGGAAGGATGCAAAAGAGGTATATTTTAACCCTATAAGTAGTCCTCAATAGTGAAGTTAAATCATATTTACCATGGTGAACTGAACGCTGAGGGAATGATGATACTTACTCTTCGATTGGGTTTTTCCTATGGGACTAAATTACTTCATTTTGAAATATACAAGTTGGTAAATTGGTAATTTAAAATCAAGGAAACCATTTATTGGAATCAGAAGAGGCTGTGTATTAAAAGGAACAATTAGACCATGATATGGCATGTCAATTGTCATATCCTATGTGAAAAACCAAGGACTCAATTTTGTGGACGTCTACACCCCTCTCCCTTTTTTCTTTATTATTATTATTTTTTCCCATTGTTAGTTTGTGACTGGAGTAACAAATAAAATGCTTTCTAGGTGGAGGAAAAGATTGTTGTTTGTCTTTGACGAATCATATATTATCATTAGCATCTATTTTTTTTAATGACAAGTTGATTAGAAGGTAAAAGGGGTTTGAGTTTTATCCTTCAGACTTGATGCTATGTCCTCTATCGTCAGGTTGTACAAGAATGCAAAGAAATTTACGAAAACTCTCTTGTTGATGGAAACCCCCCAAAGGCTGGTTTTGTTTTTCAAAAAGTGAAGTGCCTATCTGCTTCCAAAGGATCTATATGGCGAAAGCTGACTTAGTTCTGCTTCAATACCGACGCCTATGCTTGGACAATTGGCAGCCTATTCGGTCAACTTCTTAGATGCCTCTGTGCAGATGTATAAAGGACAGGTCCATATTTTTACCCTCCAAACTATAATTTTTTCTCCGCATTTAATTCCGTTGATTTTTTGCATTTAGTTTATTTTGAAAATAATGTAGTATAAACCCCTCAGTAGTTCAGATTAATACTCAAATGTATTGAAACATAAGAAACAGAAAAGGTGAATGAAGAAGCGTGTTAGATTCTGTGATACGCGACGGGTACCACATGTAACATTATTGCTCTGTCAATACGTTATGATTGCTTCTGCAAACTTGATGTTTATCTTAATATTCTGTTCTGATTGTTTCTAGTTGATTGTAGTAGTCTTGAACCCTACATTTGATTCTGTTTTATATTGAGGTTTGTTTAAATTGTGAATAATGTGGTATAATCCCTTCTTCCCAGTGCCACAATTCAGTAACTAATCAAATGTCCAGGCTTGATATGTTCGAAGTGACTTGCAAATGCAAGTGCGACGTTACCCGAGTGGTTAGGTTGCTCCCCGTGTCTGAGAATCTGTGTTTGAGCTTTGCCCGAGTGGTTAGGTTGCTCCCCGTGTCTGAGAATCTGTGTTTGAGCCTTGCATCCTTTCCCTCCACTCTAACAACTAACCAATGACCCCCAACATTCTTGGCTTGGGAATTTTTTTTTATTTTTATTTTTATTTTTGAGGGGTTCACGACCAGGAAAATAAAAATGGGTCAATATATATATAATTGTTTTTTTTTTTTTCTCTCCCATAAAGCCTAATAATCGGATCAAAACCAGTTGTAAAGAGAACCGGGCTGACGTTATGGAACTCTTTAAAAGCCATTATACGGTGGTTCCTTCTTTATGGCCCAAACATTGTAGAATTCAACATGTTACCCATTTTCAGTCCGAAGGAAAAATCGAATTTACACTAAATTGCGTTAAAATTTTAGTTCATTTATTACAAGTCAATTTTTACACCCTTTTATTTTATTTTTTATGTTTCAGTATTTTTAACAAATGGACTTTTTGGCAGTTCAGAAATTTTTAATTTTTTATTAAAACAAAAGATTGGGCAAATTAGTAGTTTTTTATTTCCAGTAACGACGGTTAATGTTGTGGTCTAATTTGAGCATTTTGTGTCGTGGGAGTATTATTTGCATTGTGAATGGAATTTTTTTTTTTTTTTTTAATTTTTTATTTCCTTGGTAAGTAAGACTAACATCGAGCAGTTATTTGCAACACACTGCATTTTCATGAGATTATTGGCAATAACAAGATTGTACAATTTGCCCTTCGTTATATTCCATTCTTGAGAAATATGGACACAATTATCGTATATAATAGTCACAAAATGTAAATTCTCCCACACATACATTTTTTAAACAATCCACCTATTTATATAGTGGTGTTATTTATTTATTTTAAAAAATATATAACTTAACAAGAAAAACATTCACACCACAGTGTTCCTATAAAGATTTGAATTCTCTATTAATTTTGAAAGGTGAGAATGTACCATTAAAACTATGGAAAATGTTTTTTGCATCGAATAGTTGTAATTAATTATTAGACTTACTTTTTTAATTGATCAATTATGCAATAAATAAGAAAGTGGAGTCCTCCACTTAGTTATATTTGATATAAATAACTAATTAAAAATTATTCGGTTGGGCAATTTCTGGATATTATTTGGAGAGAGATCATTAGCCAACAAGTGACAACGCAAGGAGTGAGTGATTTGCGCATTATGTTCACACTAATCGTGTCATTAGCGAGGAAAATAAGGAAAGAATCACAAAAATAAACTACCATAATAGAAACAATTCACCACATTTCCTACTTTATTCTATCTTAGACTATGATTCTCCAACTGCCCCACTTGACTAATCATAAATTAACATATAGAGACAACCTTTACACTAAATTTCTAATGCTGTCCAATGGTGTACTATTTTTTATTATATTAACAAAATCCACTGAGATATTCCTTGTTTTATCATATATAAAAGAGAGGCCTTGAGAGCCCTCCTTTGGCATTATAACACAGCCTCTTTTAAGTCCTCTAGACGTACCAAAATGGAAAATCTTCCCCAAGTGTGTAACAGAAATCAAAGGAGAAGGAGCTCCAGACACTCCACCGGATACCTCGGAGTACGCCGGAGGCCGTGGGGCCGATACGCCGCGGAGATTCGGAATCCGTATACCAAAGAGAGACATTGGCTGGGCACATTTGACACTGCTGAGGAAGCTGCATTGGCTTATGATCTTTCATCCATATCTTTTAGTGGGATTGAAAGAGCTCGGACCAATTTTTACTACCCGTTTTCGGCTCCTCCGTCGCCTTCACCACCACCTCCGCCGCCACCAACACCGGAATTGGAAGAGGGTGGCCAGCATTGCATGGAGATGAGTTCCGTTGAAGATGATGAGTCTCTTGTCATTGCGTCCATCTTACAGAGTTTTTGCCAATCTAGTAACCTTTCAATTTAGTTTCGACTCTTAAGTTCTATAAAATCCATAAAAGTTGGGCTTTTAAAGGGCAATTCTTACTTTATTGCATACATCTTGGATGCAACACTTTCTGAATTTTAAAGAATCATTAAACTGAGTGGAAAAGGCAAGCTAGTTTTTGAATTTTTTTTATTCTTTTGCCACTTTCCTTCCATGTTCTGATTGGCTTTTTTTGCATGTTCTAGTTATAAGAATGAATTTATTTATTTTATTTATTTATTTAAATTTTTTTTTTTCTCTCTCTCTCTAATTGGTACTGCTACACACGTGTCTCAGGTTCGAATCCCTGATCTCCCTTTGGACAGTAAAAATTTGGTACCGTTAGGTCACTGGCTTATTGGTTAATTATAAGATTATTGTTACAATCAATAGTAATATATGATCATTGCTATCATGATAAAAACAAGCGCGTTTTAATTGAAAGTACTGCTTGGGCACTTTAAACTTGAAATTAGAAAAACTAAGACCGTCAATTCAATGCTCTCAAATTAACTTTACAGTTAAATTCGAGTGCTAATATCTGTAAATTATATCAAGGGCTATGTATGTACCTGATTTGATGATTCAAATACGAGTTTGTATAAATTTGTACCCAAGGTTAGGTCAATACCTATTTTATTTCTTCGACTCCCTTTATTAATGGAGACTGCATTAGATTATTGTCTTTTTATTCAATTAGCATGAACTGATATATACACTAAAGTTACAAACAAGGAGATGCTCCAAAATTATACTCTATCCACTACAATATATTTATAAACAAAGTGACAAAAATATCCTAAACTATCTCAATAACGGGTGATTTTTTTTTTTTTTTTTTTGATAGCTCTCTCTTCATACTGTACACAGTACAGTTCACAAATTTTTTTTCATACATATGTACACTCAATGTTCAATTTTTTTTTTTTTTCAGAAAGTGAAAATATATATATATATATATATATATAATATGGAAACATGTAGAGAGAAAGCAAAGAGAAAAAGAAAATAGGGATAATTACAGTCAAATGAACTTAAGGTGGTCTTATTACAGTCTTGTGAAGTCAAATTAGATTCTAGTAAAATTTTGAAATATGCTGAGGTGGACATAAATTTTTACCGTGCATTTTATTAAAATACCTAAGTTGCCCTTCCATTTTATTTTTTCTATATATACTTATCAGAATAACAAACTATAACATGAAATGAAGTTTATAACTGTAGAGGATATATGTACCCGTTTAACGTTAATAGTGTTTGAAAGAATTAAGGATCGCTGAAGTAATGTCTAAACAATTTAAAACGAAGATAAAGTTTCATAGAACAAGAAAACGCTGTTTGAGTTGTCTCATTAACTGAATCAAAGTGAAGAATTAAAATTATTGTCTCATTAATTGCATCAAAATGAAGAATTAAAATTGTTTTTAAACGAGACAAACAAAAAAAAAAGGGGATAGAGACCACTCAATAAATGAAATAAATGCCTAATGATTTTTCTTTGAGCTATTGAAGAGTTATCCAACTTGAGTGACCAAGATCATTATATACATTTATTGGTTTATAACTCGGCAGAGTCAGAAATATTCATTTGGGGACCAAACTAATAATATATGAAATTAAGATTTAAAAATAAACAAAATAATTGTAACGATTTTTCTTTTTTAAGAGCGTGTCCATAAATGATATGAAAAGAATAGTTCACAACTAATAAATGAGATTGTTAAACATTCTTTTTCTTCTCTTGAATTCATAAAAAATAATATATATACAAATATATTGGGGCAATGGTTATAATAATAAATTCGCACCTTACTAGATTCAAGTTTCATACAAACAAATTAGGTGTGTGAATTTCGTGACAAAAGTAAAATAAATAATAAATAAATAAAAATAGAGTCTGCCATGCACAGTGATACCAATTAATCTCTTTGCCATATGTGTGTGTGTGTAAGAGAGGGAGAGAGTTGGACCATTAAGGTATTGGAGGTACCAATATATCGCTGCTGAGCCTGCTGGCTTGCTCCCTCAAAGGTGATGAAATGAACACGTTTGACGAAATGAATAAATCTTAGGAAGTCCTGCATAATGCATTAAAGAGCACATAAAATAATAATAAAATTCTACTACACAAGAATTTAGGTTTAGCACACTGCATATATTAAATATGGGTATAAAATATTAATTAATTACACAACATATCACAAACACAAACAAGCAGAAATAACACTAGTCCCACTGTACGTCTCACACACGAACACTAGGAAGTAGGGGTGAAATAGATCTGAAGTAACTACAATCAAACCAGTTATATATATATATATATATATATATATATATATATATTAATTATATATGAGAATAGCTAATTAGGAGGGGTTGGAGTTAATTAGTCTGACCACCATGTCCTGGATCAACTGGTGGCTTTGAAGGGCCACCATCTCTTAGTACTCGTTCTGTGGCTGCAGCTGGTGGGTCATGACTTGTTGGAGAGTGCTCTTCAAACCCTAAACATTTGAGAATAGCACTGAGAGCTTTTTGAAGAGAATAGCATGAACCAGTGTAAGAATAATAAACTACTCTTCTCTTCTGTGATGGACACTCCATTTCTTGATTCTTTTCTTCTAAATCTTCTTGATCTTCTTGTGTTCTTTACTGACTAGCTCCTCATTAATGGTGGTTGATGGTTTTTATTAAATGAACTATGTCTCTTCACCAGGCATGGTTTTTAATTGACAAAGATATATATATATATAGAGAGAGAGAGAGAGAGAGAGAGAGAGAGTGTGTTTTTTTCATCCTCCTTTTGTGTGATTTTTACCCTTTGGAAAGTCCGTTGTAAGTATGTTAACAAAGACTTTTTTATTATATTTTTACCCTTTGGAAAGTACTTAGAATAGCCTAATAACAAAGACTTTTTTATTTGGTGTTATAAAAAATAATAATTTTAATAATTATCAGGTACTCTAAGGATAAAAGACATTTGACATTAGGTAAACTCTACGTAAAATTTAATTGTCTTCTATATCGTTAAGTAATAAATAAATCTGAATAAAAAACATTCTAAATTTACTATAATGATGTTACATTCAAGTATATATTTAAGACTCCACGCAAAATTTAATTGTCTTCTATATCATTATGTAATGAACAAATCTGAAATAAAAACATTACAAATTTGCTATTCTGAGCTAGACTCCATTTCTTGCTTCTCATCTTCTGTTTTAATGACTAGGTCCTCATTAATGATGGTTGGTAGTTTCTTGATCAGGTAGGATTTTTGACAAAGGTTTATCCTGCATTTGTATGTTTTATTACCTTTGGAAAGTCCGCTTCAGTTGGCACGTGCTTTACAACATGCATGCATATAAATGTCAACTTAAGGGTTAATTACATCAATTTCGCCTATAATTTGTCATAATTACATAGACTGTTTTTATGGTTTGAAAAATTACTCGGACCTTCCTTCTATTATAGTCAATGAATTTTGCTGATGTCATGTACTACCCTTCGTTGTACTCAAAGACATTTTGAACCTTAAAAAACAAGAAGAATTACTAAAATACCTTCTCCCTACGAGATATGACGCCGCCACCAAAGTCATCCAATGAATCATTTACCACCGGAGGTGAAATCTGTGTTGAGCTAGCCAAAGTCATCCAATGAATCATTTAGCATAATGGGTTGTACACATCCTTACCGTTCCGATTGTGTGATCAAATATGTGGCTTCAAAGTTACAAGAAAATATTACGCAGATTCGATGCCCTGTTCCGGCCCGTGGAGGGTTATTGGAGCCCGAACATTGCTGACCCAAAGTGCCACCGGAGGTGTTTGATAGGTGGGGAAGTGCTCTCTGCGAGTCGGTGATTCTTGGTCGGAGAAACTCTACTTCCCTTACAAGGATTGCTTGGCACTTTTGATTGATATATAAGCCAGACAATGGACAGGTTATTACTCGATCGAAGCGTGTCCCGATTGCAAAATGTGGTTTTGTACGCAGTGTAAAGTGGCTTGGCATGTGAGGACGGGGTGTGGCGATGTTGAGAAATTGAACAGCTATCCTCTGAAAGCAAGATCAAACCCAGAATTTCATGTTTGAAAGTAAGATTCAACCCAGCCCAAGAATCGATGTAGTCTTAATTTAGTCACCAGTGAACAATGTGGGGGTGGTGGTAGGCGGCCGGAGGGTGGGTGGTGGTGGTCGACCGTGGTGGGGGTAATGGTGGTCTGCCGGAGGAAAAGGTAGGTCGGCGGTGGATTGTATATCCCTACAAGCATATGGGTAGTTCGGTTGCAATTTGAGGGTATTTCAATAAATTAGACACGTCTTTTAGTTTATTTGACGGTCCGAAGTATGTATAGGTTAGTTTTATTTTTAGAGAAATTCTGAGTAATTTCTTAAATCATTAGGGAAATTTCTATAATTATAACAAATTATAAGAGAGGTACGTATAATTAATTTAAATAATAAATAAATAAATAAACATCACCTTCAAGTTTCATCGTGGGTATTCACACCTTCCCAAGTAAATAATAATGTTAATAACAATAATAATAATAAATTAGATATTCACATAGCCCATTGAGGCTTTGCATGAGCTACTAAACACAAGCCACAAGTCACACAATGTTTTGTTTTTTTCCCTTCAAAGTAATATCCTTTTGTCAAGAAAAAGTGGAGCTAAATAGATCCATCCAAGTGAATCAGTTAGGAGTTAGCAACATCACTCAAATCACACAAAAATATGAAATAATTTTTTTAAAAAATGAATATAATATATATATATATATATATATATATATATATATATATATAAAAAGTGAGAGAAAATATGCTATCACATGGACTAATTAAAAGGCATTCCATGAATATGTTAATAAGTTGATATAGTCAATCAATTTAATTGTCTTATGTATCATTACTTAAATGAACAATTCTGAGATAAAAAACAGGGACGATATTTGCATGACCCATTTATTGCATTCCAACATTAATAAAAA